TTGCAAAATATTTTTTACAATTTCACTTAACAGAATGATATTTTTTCAAAGATATCTTGTACTTTTAGAATCATTTGCTTCAAAGAATTGAACTATGGCGGCCTTTACTCGTTATTTTACGATTTTTGCTGTAACTCGAAAAGTAGTCGAGCGATTTTGTTCATATTTGGTATATGAATACTACAAGCATGGCACACTGTCTAATGACTCTTCTGGTAGAAGGCAGCCATTTTAACGTATTTTACTATAACACGGAAAGTAGTGGAGCGATTTTGTTCATATTTGGTATGTGAATACTATAAGCACTGTCTAATGGCTCTTCTGGTAGAAGGCGGCCATTTTAACGTATTTTACTATAACTCGAAAAGTAGTAGAGCGATTTTGTTCATATTTGATGCGTGAATACTATAAGCGTGGCACACTGTCTAATGACACTTTTGGTAGAAGGTGGCCATTTTGAAAAATGGCTGCCATTTTTGCTGTATACTTTGTTTGTAAAAAAAATGCCAGCCATGGCTGTTCGATGGGATTTGCTACACTTGCTGTTGTCTAGTTGAAGGATGGATGGACGGACAAATGGAGGGGTCTCTATAGCTTATCCCCTAATTTTCGTTGGATTGAACAATTGTGAATATGGTTTGTTGGACAAATAAAACTTATTGAATGTCTAAAAGCAAATAATGAAGTGGTAATTTATTTAAAATCTCAAACATGCTTGCTTTGGTCTAGTCACTTAATTCCTAAATGTCCCATAATTAGTATCTACATGTATATACCTTATTAGATGCAGTGAAGGAGTTAAATCATTGGGATATGAATAAATCATGCAAAACATATTTTGTACATATTTCTCATCATTTAGGGTTACCCAGTAGTTTACAAGCTGACCTTTGCAAAATATATTTCACTTACTATCCTCATTCGCTATCACGCTATCTAGTTTCTTTCCAAATTGGGCTGAATTGCCTGGTTTATTGGTTTTAGCGAACCGTCCATTTCGTCGAACCATCATTTTGCTAAGGTTGTTTGTGATGAATATACAATATTCAGTTACATATAACTGTACAGCAACTTTATGCAAGGGAAGGTAATTGTGTGAGAGCACATAAAGTACACCAAGTATTGACCCACTTGTCTCAGTGAATCTTATAAACAGTGCATAAAGTTTTTTCTATGCAATGATTGGCTCACAGTTACTTATAGTGTAAGTTATTTTATTTCTATACAGTGTGGAATAGAGTGTATAAACTTTTACAGTTTCAAGCAGGTTTTAGTGTTTTCTGACCAATGATATATTCAGACTTATTCATTTCACGATTATGTAATACTGACCTACATATCTGTATAGCATATCTTTAAGTACTACTCTCAACAAATCTCAAGTAGGTTCTATTGACCCTACCTAGTTAGTATTGAATAAAATTTGCAGGCATGTTCTAATCAGTGGACTGGCTCCAATTTAGTGGACTCTGTGGCCTTATCCATTGTTTAGTCATTGTGTGGTTAAAATGACTAAAAGGTGGACTGATACAAAGGCCACTGTTTTGGTATTTTGATAGGTGAATGACTAAAAAGTGGCTTCAAACTGGAGTATAAAGGGTTAAGTAAAAGGATGGTACTGAGTGATCCAACCCACCCAAGGTGCATGCCTAATAGAATCATAAAACCTTATCAAGTGATACAATCTGTACCAGACACCATCAACTATTGTATCTTAGTATCCCTTTAAATTTAATTTTGTCAAAGTAACAATTATCACAAACAATGAAGCTCTGATTTCATAAATTTACATGACCCATTGGCCAAAACAGTCTCGAGACAGCTTAATGTTGAGAGGTGGGGGTAAACAATGCTAAAAAAATTAATTACAAACTTTTCCACAACTTGCAGTTGGTAAGGGTATATGTGTATCCCAATTTATATAGAATTTTCCCTATTAAATGATTATGTTGGAGGAGTTTGCAATCATTAGTTTTAAGCTGTGATTTGCAAAAAATAAAAGAACAAGATATAGTTGAATTCTATTGTTGATGAAAATTATGAAGTTACGTCATTTTTTGTAAATATATCAGAATCAATAGCATTCCATTGTAAGTTTAAGGCAGAGTAAATCTGGAAGAGCTGAATTACAAGCCTCTCATACTTTATCTCTAAAATCTAAAATTGGCATGCTTTATAATTTTAGTATGACTACACTTGTATTATATTTGCATAATTTGTCAAACTTAAATTATCCTTCACATTCTTTTTAATGGGGACAATCTAGCTGACAATCTACCTAACATTCATCTGCACGCCACCTAAATATCTTTGTTGTTTCCCTTACAAATGTTGACTGTATATTTTGAAAAGTGAAGCTCCTCATGTTATAATGTTGAACCCTGGGGCTGGACAACCAATCTTAACTCAATTTAATTTGGAGAGGGGGGGGGAATGGTAAAACAATTGATTAAATATACTTACTCTTTTTCCACAACTATCAACTTGTAAGGACAGATGTAAATTCCAATTGATATAAAATGTTCCCTTACTGAAAATATCATAGAAGTTTGCAGTCAGTAGTTCCTTCAGTATATATTTTATGAAAAGGAAAAAAACATATGGCGTAGTGTTGAATTATATTTTTGTAAAATGACCAATATAAAACCATTCATTTTTTTTGTTTTGTAACTTTATCAGAATTATTTATCATTCCATTAAAAGGGTTGACTCTTAATGGCAGGGAAATATAGAGGTAGGTGCGGAATGTCACTTTTATTTGCTAATTTTTCCAGCCCCATGTCATTTGAATGGTAGCTTTTTAAGTTTCGCTTATTCCTATAAAGACTAAATCTGAAAAATCTGTTATATATATAATTATATTATAATAATAATAATAATAATATAATAATATCAGATAATATTGATAATTATCAAAACTATTGCTAACAGTTATAATTTTAGTTACATCAAAACTATCACTTTTATTGATACCTATTTCTAGCAATTGTTTCATAGAAAAGGGCTCGTGTGAAATAAGCAATATCTGATAATTTATAAAAACAATTGATAATTATCAAATCTATTGCTAATTTTGGTAATTTAACTTTTATCAAAACCATCACTTTTATTTATTATATATTTTTTCGTGTCAAGTGTGGTTTGCTTCATAATTCGACTAGTGATCCAAATTATCACACTGAAACTTGGATACATGCTGAACTTTAACTTAATATCAATCTGCCATGTCAACTTTAAAATTTTCAGGGATGAGTTTAAGCATTCTGGGTAAATGATAAGGCGATCATTTTGAATCTTCCATCCTTGGAAGATTCCAATCTTGTGTGCAAAGAATTATCTACACGTTTACAGAAGAACCATTTGAAAGATCGAATTCAACTTTTCAGATGTGATTCTTTGTATGAAAATCTCAAACTGATTAGTTTTTGGGCATTCTGGCTGATGTTGCCATTTTGATTTTTTTACCTAAAATCTTGTATTTTCAACTGATTAAAGAATTGGGCATTGGGGATAAAAACTCAAGGACCACCCATCGGTATGGACATATTGTACACGTTTGTGTTCTTGTTAATAAGTTAGAATGGAAGAAACAACTGGATTAATATACAGAGTGGGAAATAAGCATTTTTTGTTCCTGGACAAATTTGTCCAGTTACTTTGAAACAGACCAGGCAAATTTTTTTGACTGGTCAAAATTTTGACCAGACAGTTTGAAAACACACTGGACAATTTTTTGTACTTGGTCAATGTATTAAAAATAAAAAATATACAGTAGAAAGAAACAGAGGGCGGGGGGTATAACATGATTGAAATTGTTAACCTTTGAATTTTATTATTTTTCATTTGTCAACAACTTATTCCTCAGAATATTTCATATTCTTTCATTTGATGTGTAAAACAAAATTCATGGTCTCATGTCTCAGTAAAATCTATCTGGACAATGTTGACCACACAGTTTGAAACAGTCTGGACAAATTTCTTTTCAGACTTGACATTTGTCTGTTGTCCGGTGCTTATTTCCCACACTGATATAAATACCTGCCATCTGGAGATCAGTAGCATATTAATGAGAGAACAAATATATATTATATGAAACAATATTCCATTCCTTGTGATTGATTTGCTTACGGGTAACACAATCTCTCCATAGCCTGATAGCCAGAAGGGAATGTGATGGGTCGCATCCCCTCCATAACCAATAAAAATAGAACCATTAGATAATGGAAGAAAAGAGCTTTAAAATGCTTTTTTAAGCTTCTAGCTCAAAACAGATCTTATTTCTTTGTTTTGCCTTGCTTATGTCACGATTATCCACCCACTTGACTGAAACCCAAAATTTGGCAATCGTACCCCCCTGACTGAAAGCTGACTACGCCCCTGTTCTCCAATCTACACTAAAATGCCTTCCTCTTGCATGTAACAAAGCTATATTTTAGAAAAACACCGTCTACTCATCCCGCTACTCATGTTATGTGTGTCTGTGCTTGACCCTTTGTGGTCAAACCTTCTAAATTCCATCTTTTTAATTTGAAAGGAATTTAAAAATCCACATATTTTTTATTGTGCTTGGGAAAAGGACTTGATAAATGGAGGGCTTCGTGACATCCCTATCGAACTTCATTTGCTGGGATAATGATATTGATAAGTTAAATTCAAATTTAGATATGTATTGCTTGAGGCCATCTTTTAGTCAAAATACTTACAGAAAACCTAAAGTGTGGCCCCATAATGGAGTATAGAGGGTTAAGTCCACTTTTTAGTAATTTTGTGAAGCAATGTCTAAAAGATGGCCCAGAGTCCAGTCCATCTTTTCTTGGGGCCAGTCCACTGATTAGAACATGCCAAATTTGCAGCGGTACAAACTTTACTTAAGGTATAAGCCTAGCCAGTCGCCGCAATCAAAATATTACCTTACCTCAGAAATGACTCATGGTCATACTTAAATAGTTGCTATATAAAATAAACAAGGTCGAAAAGAGGCCAGAGCCTGGTTTCAAACAATGGAGTTTAATTTGAGGATGGCGTTGTTTTGTGTTATTGCAACACTCTTAATTGCACCCTTGGAAGGATTTCGCTATTTCCAAAATAAGATTCCCAATGGAAACAATATTCCCCACCCATGTAAACCTAACTACGTATGGCAGGGAGTGGGCCATAGGAATTCGGCTGGTGGAGGAGAAAGAAACCCATTTGGATTGGCATTTGACGAAAATGGAAAGGTAGTTAAATCTAGATCATCCAACAATATCAAATAATTAAAGCATTTTTGTTCATTTGTAAATTAATTAAGTTTGCAATTCAGCTTGCCATTATGTACTCAATCTCTTTTCGTTTTTAACGAATAAAATAGTCGCGCTGGAACTAATAATTAGGCCATAATTTCTCATTATGATGTATTTTTGCATCTAGCTTGAAATTTAGTGGTCTGGGATAAGTCATTGGGACTTTCAGTGATTTCTTTTTAGCTTTCGCGACTTTTCAGTTTCGTGACTTTTTAAATACAAATACCGAGACCAGGGAATGCCATAGTAAAATATATTAAAAAGGCATATTTTATAATGTTATGTCAATCATCCATATTTTTATACTTTTTCATGTGATCAATACACCAGGTCATATAAAAAAAACTAAAAGTATTCCTGGGCCTCAGTATTAAAGCACATACAGAATTGATTATACTTGTCTATAGACATAGTGATAGATATACTAGTAATTATATTAGTCTACATGTAGTTCATTATTTAACGACTTGTAGTTTTGTAGATGTTGTTTTGTATCTTTATTTCCCATAGACCTCTATACGTAAAAAACTGGATACAGTTATTTAACATTTTTAAAAACTTTTGCTCCTGTAGAAGTTTTGACTTAACGACTTGTATATACTGCATGCTTCGTGCACTTCATCTCAGTTCATTTGTTGTACTGCCATAATATATCAGATGCTGGCACAGTTTTGCCGGAAGTTTGCAAGAAGTAACTTTTGGCAATGCAGTATGTTAGAGTAACCTAGTAGGTGTAAGAAAATATAAGGTGATGGCCTTTAAAGTGGTAAAAACAATTTTCACGGCCGAATTGGACTTCAATTCCTACGATTTCAGGGGGTACTATAAGACTATTTCATAACATAAAGGATGTAGTTGCTATTGTTCTGCTTTCTACAGCACACATTACTAGTCCAAAGATGAATAATATCCTAAAGTTATAGGCTGATATCTGTATTAGTCTCAGAAATATTGCAATTAATAGGAAAAAAATACGCAATTTTAGTCATTTTTAAGTCTCACGTATCTTATATTTGTAGCTTCCAGCAAAAGATGGCAGCTTAAATAGCTCAAAATTGTTTTCTAAAAACTAATTCAAGCTTTGTTTGATATTGTAATACAATTATAATAATGATAATGTACTATTTATGATTTTTAATATGACTTTATAGTACCCTACCCCTGGAAAGTGGGCGTGGTCAATGTTATCATTTTGCAGCATACAATTAAAAACTTGTATTGATAGAAAGCAAAGCAATGCATATAAAACATCTTCACTTGTTACTTGACAATGTAATTCATTCATTACTAAAATATAGGACTCTACATATTTTATATATACAATTTCAATTTTGTACAATGTATCATAATGAAATCTAATAGGCTGTTTCAATTTACAAACTTTTTCTCGGATCACCCTTACCTTTTGACAAAATGATCTACTATATGACCAATAGCCACAAAAAATAGCAGAACTGATCAACGTTTAACCCCCCCCCTACCCCTATGTTTGTTTTGTATGGGGTCCGCCACAATGCAACAAGTCCATTTTCAGTGCTTACTATCACATGGAATATAAGTCACAATGTTTCCACAATATCTGGGCAATGAGATAGTGCCATTAAGAATATGTATGCCCAGATTCAAGATCATGGTGTAAATGCTTGCCGATCTATCGGCTTTCAAAAATGAGGAAAGCTGTCTTGAGTGCCGTTTCAACTAATTTTGAATTAAAACTGCTACTTATGAATTTTTTTCTCAACAACTGTGATTTGGTTAGAGTCCAAACGCAGGATATCAAGACATAGTGCTACCAAATTCTGGTATTGAAAATTTCAGAGCTCTAGATCAAGTATTCATATCTGCATGGACTCTTAAAAAGACACAAAATGCAGTCAGATATCGCGAAAAAATGTGACAAAATGCACTATTCAGAACAATTTATCTCTTAAATTTTACTTTTATTTACCATAATTTCTGATTCTGCCTCTAGTTAGTAATACCAATAATACATATGAGTAGACTTAAGGTTATAGTAAGTGTAGTTACAGATTTATTAGCATCTAAAAATGGGAGAAGCAGTGTAGCAAGTGCAATTTTCACCTATAATTCATAATATTAAACTGCAGCTTTCAGGAATTTCTTCTCTAAAACAAGAATTCCATGAGACCCCAAAAGACAGGATTCCATATCACTGTACCACCAAATATATATGAGAGTAGTTTCAGGAGGTTATATCAAATAATCATTGAACCATTGACACCTAAAAATATGCAAAATACAGTCAGAAATGGTGAAATTGTGATTGTGAAAAAATGTATGTATTCTTAACAATTTTTTAACTAAACTGTATTTTATTTAGAACTGAAACTTGAAGTGCTTACTAGGAGTTACATCTAGTTATTATTTATTAAGTGACTTCAGCATCCGGATTGATATAATTATAGGATATCCTATGATTTTGAGGAATATCATTTTTATCTACGAGGTGATATTAATATCTACACGAGAGAGCAAAGCGAACGAGTGCATATATCAATATCACCGAGTAGATTAAAATGATATTCTGAAAAAATCATAGGATGTTCTTATTATCCTACACTTACAAGGAGTGTACTGAATGTATAATATCATTGTAAAATGAATTTCATGCCAAATAGAGTCCATTTGGCGGGAAATCCATTTCAAGTCCATTTGGCGGAGTATATCGTCACAATATCCTCCGCATATTGGGTTTTCCGGAGTTTATCATCACCATATCCTCCGCCCGGAGTATATCGTTACGATATCCTCCGGATATACATTTTGCCAATAAATATCAAATTTATTTTTTCATGTTATTATTCATTTAGTACACGAAGTGTAGGATAATATAGGAATATCCTATGGTTTTGAAAAAACATCATTTATATCCATGAGTGGATATTGATATTTTCATGAGTGAGCGCAGCGAGTGAGTGAAGATATTTGTATCCATGAGTGGATATAATTGATATTTATGAAAAAAAAATTATTTATCCCATGGGAAATCATCATCAGCGAAAAAATGTGGAAAATATAATTCGAGAAAAAATTTGAAAAAATAATTGAAAAAAAATTGTGAAAAAATGTTGAAATTTTTTAAAAATATTTTTGAAAATAATTAAAAACTGTAAAAAGAAATTTTTTTTTGAAAAAATTCTAAACCATGGAATATCACTTTTCAAACCACCGAATATCACTTTTTAAGACATGATATTCGATAGTTTAAAAGTGATATTCGATGGTTTGTGAATTTTTTGCTAAAATATTTATAACTTGATCCACATATCAAATATATCTTCATGTGATATTCGATCTATATCCTTGCAACCATGGGATAATCACTGATATGCTTAAGACCAAAAAACCTATAAAGAATGTTATTATTGAATACTGAGAATACATTGTTTTTACATTACGGAGCTTTATTTCTACCTGAAAGTATTTTGGAACATATCTCTTGCTTAAATATTTCATGCAATGTTACTTTCAAAAACTTTCTTAGAACAATTAGTCCATCCTATACTTTCACATGTTATTCTCCATTTCGTTTTTAAAAATTTTGGGAGCTTTAAACTCTAGAAGAGCTTAATTACCAATTATACCATGCACCCTCTTTGCCCTCCGTCGCATTTTTCTTAGAATGGCCAGGCATATTTCAAATTGAAGAGTAAAGTCAGTTAACGTGATATATAGCTGTATTTAACAACGTATCTTTCACTTGATACTGTGATGTCAAGCTTAAGCATTCAAACAGTGTATTTTGTCCCAAGATACAATAAAGTACTGACTTCATTCATTTATCAATTCAGATGCCTTGGAATTAAAGTAAACACTTGGTATATATTACCAATATTATTTTACCTATTATTGGTGGTACAATGACCAGGTTTCCTTTAATGTCTTTGGTCTTACTGTGCAGTTTGTAAAAAGAAAATTCAGAAAGTTGCAGTCTTAGATGAAAAACTGGTGAAAATCATACTTGCTACAGCTTTTCCCATTTTCAGAAGCCAATAGATCTGTACTTCCACTTACTATGACGTTAAGTCTTCTCATATGTATTATTGGTGGTACTAACTGGAGGCAGAATCAGAAATTATGTCAAATAAAAGTAACATTTAAGAGATAAATTGTTCTGAATAGTGCATCTTTCATATTTTTCACGATATCTGACAGGTTTTTTGTCCTTTTGTCTCTTTTTAAAAGTACATGCAGAAGTGAATATTTGATCTAGAGCTCTGAAACTTCCAATATCAGAACTTGGTAGCATTATGTCTTGGTATCTTATGATTGGGGTCTAAAAAAGTCACAGATGTTGAGAAAAATATTCATTAAGCAGCAGTTTCAGTTCAAAGTTAGTTAAAACTGCACTCACGACAGCTTTCTCTATTTTTGAACGCCGATAGATCGGTAAGTATTAGTATTAGGACCTTGAAACTGCTCATATTATGTAGTCTTTGTGGTACTTTCTCATAGCAAAGGTAATTTGGAAACACTGTGACTTACATTTCATGCGTTAGTGAACACTGAAAATGAACCAGCCTATTAGATTTCATCATGATACATTGTACAAAATTGAAAACGTATATATAAAATATGTAGAGTCCTATATTTTAGTAATGAATGAATTACAATGTCAAGTAACAAGTGAAAATGTTAAAAATGCATTGATTTGCTTTCTATCAATATAAGTTTTTAATTGTATGCTGCAAAATGATAACATTGACCACGCCCACTTTCCAGGGGTAGGGTACTATAAAGTCCTATTAAAAATCATAAATAGTACATTATCATTATTATAATTGTATTACAATATCAAACAAAGCTTGAATTAGTTTTTAGAAAACAATTTTGAGCTATTTAAGCTGCCATCTTTTGCTGGAAGCTACAAATATAGGATACGTGAGACTTAAAAATGACTAAAATTGCAATTTTTTCCTATTAATTGCAATATTTCTGAGACTAATACAGATATCGGCCTATAACTTTAGGATATTATTCATCTTTGGACTAGTAATGTGTGCTGTAGAATACAGAACAATAGCAACTATATCCTTTATGTTATGAAATAGTCTTACAGTACCCCCTGAAATCGCAGGAATTGAAGTCCAATTCGGCCGTGAAAATTGTTTTTACCACTTTAAAGGCCATCACCTTATATTTTCTTACACCTACTAGGTTACTCTAACATACTGCATTGCCAAAAGTTACTTCTTGCAAACTTCCGGCAAAACTGTGCCAGCATCTGATACATAAGCTTGAACGAAAATATCACAAGCAGCGTTTAAAAGTTCAATATACAGGGTTTTATCGAGCTAAACTAAATACCTATGGTCAGATGTTAATGTACTTTTACATTTTGGCAAAGTTTCCATATAGATTTGAAATATCATTCTCGTTTTTCATGAGCTTTTAAGAGATTTGCACTTTTAATCTCTAACAACTCATTTTCTTTCGTTTTTAAAACACATTTGAATTTGATTTGATGCAATGCGAAGATTCTTTAACAGCAATCAATTACTTTACTCTTATTAATTATGTGACCTTTATCTTTTATCACATTGTTATAATCTGTATGTATATAAATTGTATGGAACAAAAAACAACAACTTAAACCTTGTTTTTGTCATCCCAGAATTTGCCATTTGAGTTTCAGACACATTCAACCAATACTTTTTCATAAATCATTAAATTAATTTACCATCGCGAGATTAAAACACGGACGGCTATTGCAGTCTGGCCTAAGCAAAACGAAGTATGACAAGGGTGACATCTATTATGCCAGCCTTATTCAGCTATTTAGAAACTATACTATTGATATAATGCTTAATGACGAATTTATTTTCATTATTGTTGTATTACTAAGTCTTACACATTATAAATTCACTTCTATTGGTCTGCACTTTGTAGTCTAGTAATATCTGGCACCTTCAAATTACAAGTTGGGCAAATGCCATCACTGATTTCGCAGCGCTTTCTATCGGTTCCTAAGTTAAAACCTACCATTCTTGCCATGAATTCAGACGGGATGAGAAAAATCTTATTCATTTTTCTCTTTAAGCTCATTTGATATTTGTATGCAAGTGCAATACCAATCAGGATATTTAGATGAAATAATATACACAGGCTGGTATCAAAAGATCTGTCCGCTGTGACGGATGCTATTTTTCATAAAAACACTTCATTATTTTTACCTCATATGTTTCGTTATATCATTTGCAAATTACTTTCTTCATGCAATTGATAGTATTTGCGGGTAACCCTCACTTCTGTTTGAAGTCCAATAACTCTAGGAGTAAAAGCTATTAAAAACGGCGCAAGAGTATCAAACTCTAATTTGTACAATTTCTTGTTTAACTTTTTAATGTCATGATATAGTGACATGATAACAATAACATATGTTTTTATCATAACTCTGAATGCATTAATGATATATTGATGTATTGGGTCTTTTTGATTTTTCTATAAAAAATGCTTACACTTTTGTCCGCTGTGACGGACCGGAGCAGTTTCATAGTTCACATTTGCAGCTGCAATTATTATATAAAAGAATTAAAAAGACCGAATACATCAACATCTCATTAATACCTTCAAAGTTATGCTGGAAACATGTTAATATTATCGTGTCACTATATCGTGCCATTAAAAAGTTAAACAAGAAATGGTATATTTTGGAGTATGATACTCCGGAGCCATTTTCCATAGCTTTTCCTCCCAGCGTTATTGTATTGGACTTCAAACAGAAGTGAAAGCAAATGATCAATCCATTGCATGGAGTAAGTAATTTTCTTTGGTATAACGATAAGTATGAGTTAAAAATAAATTGTGTGGTATTCTTAGTGTTTTCATGCTCTGTCACAGCGGACAAATTTTCCGATACCAGGATGTAATATAATAACATGAAAAAGCAATCCTTATTTCTAATAGGACGGCAAAATTATTTTCATTTGTTTATCGATAATTCGAGACCCTGGCAGTCTGTCAGAAGTTACTCAATGACTGTACTACTGAAGGGTTTGCCGTTAGTACGTATACATTGCCGGTGTAAAAGGGTAGGAGGTCCTATCAAATTATGGTCCTACTTTCCATTGATTTATATGGTGACCTAAATACAACTCTTTTCCTTATTATCGTATCCACAATCAGGGCCAGTAAGGGCCTTTAAGAAAGGGGACCATAATCCCCAGGGGACCATAATTTCTTTTACACCGGGTATATACTAAGCGATGCTAGTTTCTTTGGTCTTGTGTTTAGGTATGGACTCCCGAGCTATGTAATGCTGACTCCGACAACGACGGAAGGACCAATGGCCAGGAGCTCGGCGATCCAAACTGTGTGTGGAATGAGACCCAGATTCCTGAAGAAACATCCGGTCTTACACATCCAGGTAAACTTACGTTAAAACGCTCTAATCACAAAATGCTCGTATTGATCATCTTTTATAGTATTAAGTTCCCGGCTCCCATTTCCAATTCACACATGCGCTTGGTACACGACTATGAGTTCACTAATGTTCCCAATCCAACGTGGATGGTGCGTATAGATTCACACAAGGGCTTCATACAAGACTAGCTATATATCTAGTTGTTGTTCCTATCAGTGTATGTGATGTTTGTTAAGGTTGAAGGCCCGGGGGTTGAAGGGGGCAAAAATGGCTATATGGGCTTAATACAAGACTACAGGGTTGATTACAGTGTACGAATGAACTATTCTATTATTTAAACATGTTACATACAGGGTGACACAAAGAATGACACCCACCTTACGTTGCATAACTTGTCTGTTCATTAACATACTTTGGCATATTTCAAGAAGACATAATATGCGGAAGCACCTAGAGAAAGAAGTGGTATCGATATGGTGAACCTTTTGAACACGCGTTTTTCTTATACCAGTCATAAAAAAATTCTGAAAATTTTACACATCGTCAATTTAATGGTCATATTTTGGATGGTGACATCATAATTTGAAGTTCATATATATAATTTTCTCCATATTGTTCTAGAAAACACATCAGACACTTCTTTTATTCCTGGTATCATATGTTCGGAATGAAATGAAACATCTATCCAAACCTCATTGGAACAAAACGACATAAACAGGCCTCTCAATATTGTAATTGTACAAAGGAAAGTTTGGTTGATTTTAAAAATATCTTGTTAATGAAATAAAAGGTTTATCTTAATTTTTTTTATCTATTTCGGGTTTTTTTGTTTTTGCGTACTTTGTTAAATCAACCAAATTTTCCTTTGTATAACTATAATATTGAGAGGTCTAAGAAAATGTTGTATATGCTATTTTGTTCCAACAAGGTTCGGAAATACAGTTTATTTCATTCTCAAGAGTTGATAGAAAGGAACAAAAAAACGACTGCACTAAAAAACAAAAAATGTTATACTTGTACAAGTTATACCTGGTATAAAATATATATGAATATTTTTGGCATTAAATTGTCGCCAATCAGTCAACATTACATAAAGGGCCGTGATTTTACAGAATATTCCCAATGATTGGTGAGAAAAACATTGTTGAATTCAGTTCGCCATATCGATACATATCCTTTCAGATATGAAGCTCTGGTGGGTCAAGTTTTATGAGCGTTACAATATATGCCCACTTTGGAGACCGTTTCATCAGCCGAAGATCTGAGAATGAGCGGGCACCCCATTCCCCTTATATTGACCCTCAAGATTTTGACTTCTGGGGGTACTTCAAGGGCCATGTGTATGAGACAAATCCCCAAATCAATTAGCTTACTTAAAGAGAGAAATTACAAGGAGGGTCAGGGCTCAGGAGGAATACTTAAGGGCGATCAACAACGTTGCCAGTAGAATTCAAAATTGCCTGCAAAGGAATAGACGTCATATGGAACTTATTGTAACGCTCATAAAATTTGACCTACTTAAGCTACATAAAAATACAATTTTTCTATTGACGAGTGAGGGGATCATATTAAAAGAATCTGCTGACATGATAAAGTATCTAATGATGGGTAGAGACAGGATTCTTATATCAAAGTAACATTTTATATGTCATTTGAAGAATGTAATCCTATTTTCTTTACTTTATTGCCTATATTTACTGTTATTGAAAATTGTATATTGGATGTACGTTTGGCCCTAAAAGGGCATCAGTACTAATAAAATCCTATTATTATATCTAAAATTTCTAAAATGTATATTTATAAGCGTGCCAAAGGACAAGTCTTTATGCAACATAAGGTGGGTGTCATTTTTGTATCAATCTGTATAACACTATCCGTATGTATACACATATGAAGATCTCTGGGTCACGGCGTCAGATCTCATTGGGTCAAATGAATATAGATATTACCATGTTTTGTAGGAATCTGTGAGCCTTGGAATTCTCCAGCGTGTCTGGCACAGAACCAATGGGAGTTTTGTAATAGCCAGGAATTCTCGTGTCCGCCTATGGACGCCACAGGTAAGCAACATTATTCAGTTTATATACAGGGTGTTTCATGCACCTCCCCCATAAAGTCAAACATGTAGTATTACCAGCATTATGTATCATTTTGTTCCTTATGGACAGTATACGATTGCAAAGTTTCAGAATCAAGTCGTGTCTCTGAAAAAAAGAAAAAATGAATCGAAGTTTGTGGGTACGGGGTCATTTAGAGGGCAATTTGTCTCATCGACTCATACCCATTGTTCGTGATAGAGGTCATACCAGGTAAGGGTCTATGGCCTCCCTATAAGCCACTGTATGAATTCTATCTATATATCTGTGTGCATAACTGTCACACACGTGTGGACTTAACTCTGCCATGATAAAAATTGCTAGAAATCTGCAATATTAAAAAAAAGAATTTTCCCTTTAAATTGCCCTTGAAATGACCAGAAATTCCCCTCAAAATGAACCGTGGCCACATACTTTTGTACGTTGTATCTTTTTAGGGACACCCCTGGATTCTGAAACTTTGCAATCGTATGTCCATGAGGAACAAAATGATATATAACTTGATATGATAACGGCAATATACTACTAGGTATACGACGTCATAATAACGATACCACGTTTTGTGAAAGTATGGAATCAATATTTGGACAAAAGTTCAAAAGTGTGAAACTCTCAAATGTGTAATATCTAACGACTTTTTTTATTTTAAATAGCTGATGTAAGAAATGTCACCGTTCGCTTCCCACCAACCCCTGTCCCTAGTGAGGAAACCAGTTATATATGCCTCACTGTGCCCTTACCTGACGATGGAGACTACCACCTGATCGCGCAGACGCCTATCATTAATAACACTAACGTCATGCACCACATGCTACTCTACGGGTGTAGAGACGGTACTATAATTTAGAATTGATTTTATACACAGCATGTAATCACAACGTATGAATTAATTCAGGTCTTAGAGAATTCATTTAGGCCCCCAAACTTGTTTTTTTTTATCAAGGAAGTGTTGACAAATTGTTATTACCTCAAACCTTTTAGTGACCGCCCAGCGGTGTTCAGATAGCCTTACTTCAAGACCCTGGACTATCTACTCAAACACGGCTCTTGTCCCGAGTCCAGGGTCTTGATCCAAGACTAGTGAAGAAAATGAAACATAGTTCTGTTTGCAGAGGAGCTAGTTGAGGGTGACGGAGATGTGCGAACACGCTTTCAGACACCAAAGTCGTGTAAGATGGGCGTGGGTTGCAATAACATCCTCGCTAAATGGGCACTCGGTGCTTCGGGAGAATGTAGCTCGGAGAAGGCAGCGTTTAGGATAGGGACCAAGGGATACAAAACGGCCATTCTCCAGGTACGGATCGGTAGAAAGGATAATTGTCTCTGACTTTGAGCCATTGCACTATAGGCCTTTACATTGCTATGAGTAAAACCATTTCCAACAACAATGTAATTAAAGAGTAGCTAGAGACCAAAGAAATATTCAAATCATTATTCTTTGATCATGTAACAACGTACTTAAAACGAGATGACCTACTAGACTGCAAACGTAATTGCCAGACTTCGACCCTACAAGGGACGATATATGTTACGCTGAATATGGCATATATTCATGGCAGCGTGGTATTTGGCGGTATATGGCATAGTCCGCAGGTGAGTATGGCATGTTCCGCAGTGAATACGCGATACATTGATTTCAGTGAATACCCGCTACTCACCTGTTGAACATGTCATACTCATCGCAGGGGAGTATGCCATACACCGCATGTGAAAACGTGATACAAAAAGCCGGGAATCATTAAACGCCTGTCTATTGACTACTATCAGCCATACCACAGTATTCTGCATATTTTGTCGGATATCGTTACGAAAGCAAATTTTTAAAAGTAAATGATCCCTTAGTTATTTCTACCACCTCATAAAATGAAGTAATGAAAACCAAGCTGCAACATTGATTTCGGATGTGACTGGGCAGCATAGTATGTAACAACAAAAATATCTCAAAGCAGAGGTACATTGCGTGATGAGGAAAGTGTTATAATGAGTGATAATTATCTGATATTATTGATAGCAGTATAAAAACTGATGATCAACCCCTAATTTTGGATAGACATGATGATTCAATCAGTAATGACACGGACACAATTGCTAATGGTGAACCTCCAGATTTATTGGACTTCGATTTTGATGTCTGATGTTGATGATAAACAAGTATCTTCTAATAATACTTGTATAGAAACAATTCTCACATTTGGAGAACAAATATAGGGCAGTGAAATGGATTGAAAGTATAAAACCTATAACACTTGAAAAGAAATCTGGAATCATTGATAACCTCTATCATCACATACAGCCTAAGAAATTCCTCTTTGATAAAGAAGAAAAAGAAAAAAACAGCAATAAGTGATAAATGTATCAAGCATTCAAATGTTCAGAAATGTAATTGCTTCCCAATTTGACTGTAATTTTCAGGTTCAAATACCTACATACATTTTATTCAGGCTCTATTCGAGCTCTCGAGCCATGAAATGATTCATCGTGATTAACAGCAGAAAGCTGAACAGGATAAAGGGAAGAAAGTAACAGGAATTAGAATTAGAAAGATGTCATGAAAATAATTATTGAAAGGAACTTTACTATTTCCCTATCAGAGCATTAGCTAGTTAGTTAAATATTTATTATAGTCTCACGCTGTAAAATATATCACATACAATGAATACAATTTAAACATAACATGTTTTGCACTAAAATGAGTAATGATGAAACAAAAAGAGTCTTCCCTTAAATCGATACCACCCACAAGATCCTCTGCTCTGTGGCTTCAATCAGAAAAAAATACAAAAAAAGATTTAAAAGATTTTGTAATGTCTAAGTTAGACCCTGTTTGCAACATACTGATACAGAAAACTGTGATTTGGCTGTATGCTTGCAATTTTGATTTCGATGCACTGTTTAATGCTTTCGATGAGAACTAAAAACTGAACCAATCAGGTCCTTAACATAGTGGGATGCATTTCCCACATATCACCTGGTTACTTTAGTTTGTAAGCACGCAAACTGCACGCAAACTCCCGTGATGGTAGCACGTTTAAACTAAATGTATTTTGGGAACTATTTCAGGTTCATTGGAACAACCCAGAGTTTCGACAAGATTATGTTGACAGCTCCGGAATGACGTTGTACTACACACCCAACTTACGCGAATTTGACGCTGGTTATCTTATGACTGGTCAACAGTACATTACGATCCCAGGTGGTCAGCCCAGCTATATTACATCAGCTGTGGCAGAATCCTATTGTACCCAACAATACCTTCAGAGCCCTATTTATCTCACAGAGAGTTTACTTCATATGCATTATCTTGGTAAGAAAGTTAAGTAGGAATTATGTAAAAGTCTTTGAAGTACGTTTTGTGAAAAAGGGTCGGATAAATTAGATGGGAATTAAGTCGATTTGCAAGAACAAAAAGCAACATTAGAAAATAAAATAGGTACATTAAATTTGAATAAATCTAGAGGTATTATATTCAAATATGAAAACGAGTGCCCAGTCAATGTACATGTGCATGTTTATTTGATAATCTAGAAATAATAGAGACCTTAAGATATACGGACGACCTGTACGTGCACCTGTAATTACACGTACACGTACAGGTGTTTTTAAATGTTCCTTTTGTGCGCCTAAAACAAGTCCTTAGTCACTCGTCGACGTGTACGTGTACGAAACAAGGAATTAGTGGGTATCTGGTGATGAAAGTATGATATTTTAAATCGGCCTACACACATATCCATAGTGATTCTGTATGGGGGAAGTGTAATTTGCTTAAGGCATACAGATATACCAATGGGTGTTAGGGTGTTTGGGTAAGGTAGAGATTTTTTTTTATTTATTTCCAATTTGCTATGTAGATATTTATCTCTTGATAGTTGTCTCTTGATAATTTGAGGAGATTTGTTTGTGTGTTAATCTGCTTGATTGCTTGTTTGTTTTATGTAGTGGTTCTTACTATAAAGCACGGTGGTCTGTCTGCCTGCCAACATGTCGTTCAGCCTGTTAGCCTGTCGTTCTGACTGCCAGCCTATCGGTCTGCCAGCATGTCCGTCTGTCACCCTGTCGGTCTGCCAGCCTGCTGGCATATCGGTCTGTCGTTCTGTCTGCCAGGCTGTCGTTCTGTCTGCCAGCCTGCCAACATTCCGGTCTGTCAGCCTGCCAGCATGTCGTTCTGTCTGCCAGTATATCAGCCTGCCGGTCTGCCAACATGTCGGCCTGTAAAATTGCCGGTCTGCCAGCCTACCGGCATTCCGGTCTGTCAGACTCCCAGCCTGTCGTTCTGTCTGCCAGCCTGTCGGACTGCCAGCCTGTCGGTCTGCCAACCTGCCGGTCTGTCATGATCAGACCGTCTGTCTGTCTGTCCGTCTGTCTGTCCGTCCGTCCGTCCGTTCGTCCGTCTGTCTGTCCGCCCGCCTGTCTGTCTACAGTAGTTCGGCCTACTTTTTTTCGTTCATGAAGTATTATCTTTCTAAATCCTAAGTTTTGGGCTCAAACAATTTTGAAAAATTTGGATTCTTTTGTTATATTTGAATTTTTTTTGTTTTATTTGAATTTTTCAAAAAGAATTCAAACAATAATTTGAAAGAGATTAAAAGAAAAAAATGCGACAAAAAATTTGAACAAAAAAATAATTTTGATTAAAAAGTGATATTCGATGGTTTGGGACATTTTTGCTAAAATATGATATCTTAATCCACGTGATATTCGATCTATATCCTTGCAACCATGGGATAATATAGGAATATCTTATGGTTTTGTAAAAATATCATTTACACTCCCCTCCATAAGTTTGGCAACCTTTTTTCTCCATTGAACTACGTGTTAAAGCCTCTTTACGTTTGAATTTTTATTTACTTAACCGGCGATGAAATAACTTATAATATTGATGAAAACGTAACTTGACTTTATTTCCAATACCTCCAAATTTTCTCAATTTTTTTTCCTCAATTACAATAGGTCGAAAATTGATGATAAATTTGATGAATTTTTGAAAATCGTCATTCCCATGTAATCCAATGGGAAATGGAGGGTTCGGGGCAAATCAGAAATCAGGATATCTTTTCAGTAAAAGATTCAGCAAAAAAATTTTATATAGCAAATTGAATTGTCTAACTTTTTTGAACACTAAGTGTTTAGTTTATTTGATGAATATTAAAGTTACAGCGCTTCAAAGTCATTTTTGAAAAGAATTTTTCGCCTCCTGTGTTATTTCAATGGGAGAGGTTTTTTGAAAAACAATTTTGACTTTAAAGCCCTATAATTTTGTTGAACCTGAAGAAACATATTAATTTTTTGCTAAATAAAGTTAGCAAATTCGCTTACCTGCCTAACTCGTATTTTTTGCAAGGACTCGGATGGATGGATATTCTGTCATATGACTTGCGGCAAACCTACCATTTCCCATAGGTTAACATGGGATTGTCGATTGTCGAGAAAATTTGGAGGTATTGGAATTAAAGTAAAATTACGTTTCCATCAATAGTAGGTTAAGTAAATAAAAATTCAAAGGTAAAGAGGCTTTAACACGTAGTTCAATGGGGGAAAAAGGTTGCCAAACTTATGGAGGGGAGTGTATATCCATGAGTGGATATATGATATCTTCATGAGCGCAATTGATGAGTGACGATATTGATATCAATGAATGGATATAAATGATATTCTTTTAAAACCATTGGATTGTCCGTTTATTCCAGAGAAATCATTACCCATTAATGTCCATGAGTGGATATATGATATCTTCACAAGTATATCTTGCAAAAGCGAAACTGTCAAAATGGTACAGCAGACGGTAGCATTTCTTTTGACCAAAATGTTGATGGCTTTTTCGAAGATAATGAGAATGAGAACACTTTAAAAAACAAATCTGCACTATTGGTGTCCTAAAAACCGCACTCGTGAAATCTTACTTGTCATGAGATAAATCAGTTATGTGATGCTCGGTTTTTAATATGGGGTATATCCCTCGGGAAATATGATATCTTACCTCGGACCGTCCGGGCCCTCGGTAAGATATCTATATTCCCCTTAGCAAGATAGGATATATCCCAAATACAGAACCTCCCATAACCCTCATTTATCCCATGGTTGCAAGGATATAGATCGAATATCACCTGAAGATATATTTGATATGTGGATCAAGATATCATATTTTAGCAAAAAACAACCATCGAATATCACTTTTGAAACCATCGAATCTCACTTTTTCATATTAGAAATCTTGAAACCATCGAGTATCACTTTTCATATTAAAAGAACAGTATGGCTTTCACATAAGTGATACAATAATGGCAATACGAATTGCCATTATTTCATACTTGAAATTATCTGCAACTTTACCCATAGGATTCGTTATTTATTGAACCATAGCACATACACAGCTATTCGACAGATATTTTACTTTTAAATTAATAACATAAATAAACAGCACATTGCTTTTTTAGTCGTTCAAAACTCACATTCCAACCAACCTGTAAAGTGCCAAATTCACGTCTTGCCGCTCGTGTAAAATGAATGAGACCGTGAAATAAATAGTACATACCCTGTAGTTATGTAATACTGATCTCACTCACAATCTTTCGCGTACAGGTTCACAACAAGACGACAAAAACGCCCGGCGCTATTGAATTTACACGTCAACGGGATTATAAAACAAGTCAGACGTGTCGAATGGAGCATAAAATTACATGATTTGTTGCGCGCGCATCATGTTTCACGTACAGGTACAGGTACAGGTTACTATTTGGTGCAATCTTAAGGTCTCTACTATTTTTGTAAGTCAGTCTACACACAATGATCTAAACATGTTTCGATTACAGGGAAGTCTGCCTCATTGGACCACTATCGAGATGGTAGCAGAGTAGGGTCCCTGGGTCGTGATGATGTCTATAGCTACGACAGTCCTGTCACACATAAGTGAGTATTTGCACACATAGCTAGGCAAGGTGTGTCCAAATCAACCAAGACACACTATCTCACTGCATTCCGTTATATAACCAATAACGCATTTATTGTATTGTTGTCAAGGTGAGGATGTTGAAATTGATGCTTTGCCAACTTGACCCTTGCAATAAGTTTCATTGAAAATATTTTGTAAAATATTTTGCGATGTGTGAAAAGATGATAATTCACCGTTCATTTTGACGCCATACGAGATGAAATCTAAACTATTTTAAAACCAGGAATATTTTTGAAGGATGAGCTGTGAGAGTCGGAGTAATTGATTGCACTTTGAAGCTTCGATTTAAGCAGAAATAACATACTAACTGTTTTCTGAAACTTCATTGAAATATCTCTATTTGAATGATTTAAGGTTTGGGACGCCAATTGAGTTTCAACCAGGAGATGAAATTCGCTTGAAATGTGAGTTCGATTCGACATCGAAGAATACAACAACTTATTATGGCGATGCAACATCTGATGAAATGTGTTATAGTTTTGTGGTGTATTACCCTGAAGTGAAAAACATGAACAGCATCATTCAATTCAAGAATGCGAGCCTGTGTAAAGGTGTCTTCAGCAAAACATGTCCTGACATCCAAGATTATATGGAAGGCGATGGTCTGAAAAATTTGTGGTGGGAAGTGGTAAACAATTGTGATACAGACATCGGGGGTAGGTGTCTCCCCGAATGTGAAAAAATGGTTAGACGCATGAAATCCACTGATGGTTGCATGTCGGACAGTAATGTCGTTGAACTCATGAAAACCTTTCTAGAGAGTGTTGCTAATATTGATAGTATTTGGAGAGGCTTTGAGTCGTGCGATGACGTGATTGCTCTAAATGAATCTGTATTGTGTAACGACTTAGCTACATATATGAACCAAACACTAAAGGGAGTTGCTGAACAAATTGTCGATAGTTGTGATGTCATGGGAAACAACTGCCAACCAGAATGTAAAGAAATGATTCAAGAGATAAGACGAACCGATGCTTGCTTGGGCAATCAAATAATGGCTACCTTGATGAAAACTTACACTGCCCAAGTTCCTGATATTCACTTTTTCTGGCAGGCCTTTGAATCATGTGACGAAGAGTTAGCGCCAGTGAGAGGGAAAGAATGTAACTTGGAAGCGTATATGGAACAAAATATCGAAAGCTTTGCAGCAGAAGTTTCACGCAAGTGTGATATGGAAGTCGGAGGTACATGTAAACCCGAATGCAAAGTAATGGTCAAGAAGGCGAGAGAAACTGATGAATGTTTGGGAAATCCAAAACATGTTGAAACGATGAAGTTTTACACGCTGCCATACGAGGGCATGGATTATGTCTGGCGAGGTTTCGAATCGTGCGATGACGAGCTCGAGTTAGCCAACCAAATACCTCCGGACGACGATGAAGATGATGATATGACAGGATCTGCCTCTGGTATTTCCCTCGTCTTTACCGCACAGCTTCTTGCTGGATTTCTCACCATATTTTTCTTGAACTAATTTCTTGACTTTTTTCGTGAGTTACATGTATCTAAAATGTAAAGGACTTCCTTCACATAAGGTTGACAATACTAAATCTACATGTAGACTATGACATCATAGGTTGTTATAGCTATCTAATGACAGGCGTACAGGTGCTCTGAAGGTAGCGATGCATTTGCAAGCTCCGAATAGCTCCCAAGACAATATAATATAAAAAAAACACAGATTCGACGCTATTTTCAGTGTTTCACCAAATTGGATTTCTGAATATTTTCATGAAATCAACAAAAATTTAACATAGGGCTCGCAAAGTTAACAATTATATTCAGAAAACTCAATTTTGATGTAAAATTAAATTTTTGAGGTCAAAATCTGAAAATGGTTTAGTTTTTTTTGTATTATGTGGTATAACAAATTATTATCACTGTAGTATTTGCAACCACATAAATGTCACTTGAGACATTTTTCATTGGAATGCTGTTTGTCAAAGGATAACGGAAAATACGATCACATACAGCAATAGAATGGCACACTCTGAGCCAATTTTCAAAAACTAAATTTACTAAAGATCTATGTTATGCTCAATAAAGCAATATTTGTTTATAATTGCATAAGAAGACCTGGGAATTTTCCAAACAATTGTTTACCAATCTCTTTAAGGCAGATGCATGACAGAAAAATTGGTAGGAAATAAATATAATTCAGAAATAGCTAATTGAAATCAATTATGCGCCAAGCCCAGACACTCTGGCATAATCTTCCGGCTGCCATTAGGAAACTTAATTTTTCATGCAAACTTAGGAATGATTATAAAAAGTATATAATTGCCCAATATACAGATGAGTAATATTTTGTTTGTGTGTATTACTAGAGCTACTTTTGATTGTCTTTTAGTATTCAAGATTTAATTTTGATATCTTTTAATCATTGTATTGACTCAACTGTGAACATGTTGCCATGTTGGAAGTCAGTTTTAGCTAGATGTTTTTGATTGTATCAAGCAAAACTTAAGTTTATTGTTATGCCCTCTTTTGAATGTGTACTAGTTATAGTTAGTCTTAGTTAGTGTTCATCATTGGATCAGCTGATTTATATACCTACTATTCAAACAATACATAGAGGTTCTTATATGAGTACCTGTGCAAGATCGTCCATTCTTGATGAGCTTTGATAATTCTTCTTTATCGAGTCGAAGACGAGATAAAGAAACATTATCAAAGCGAGTCAAAAATGGACGATATTGCACAGGTACGAGTACAAGAAAGTTTTTCTCATCTGACTCTGTATTATGCCATATTTTCACCATTTTATCATAAAACTGAGTGAAAAATAGCTTCAAATTAATTGAACTTCATCTTTCAATTGTTATGACGTCATAACAATATTGAAGAAAATACATAGATACACGTGGCAACAAAGCTCCATTGTTATGACGTCACAGCTTAGTTTTGTATAATTAGCATGGATACTCATAGCAACGGTGTGTCCGTTGCCATGTTGTTGATGTTTATAGACCAGTGATGTCACAAGTAAATCTCATCTTGCACGTGTGACTTTTTAGGATGAAAGATGGCAATATCTTGCATGGGGTAAAGATGGCTGTATCTTTGTTAGTCATATGAGAAATTCTTTATACTGTATACACCCACAAGGGTGTAATGTAAAACCTTGTAAATAATACTATATATAAGAAAATAAAGCTGAATTGAATTGAAAAAAATATATAAAAACAATTCATAGAATGTTTGAGATACAATTTTAAAAATTTCACATTTTGTAACTTAAGTATATTTCTCTGTAAGTTTCATCGCATAATAGGATCATTTGGCAATGTGACAGATGATTTAAAATGGAATTTCGGGGGTACCTGGGGCAGAAAACAGGATAAAAGTGCAACATATGTCGTAAAAATTAAGGATTTTGGCAGCACATCATAAGTTGTATTTTTTTTTCTGCTCCTCTGTCAGAATATGTGGGACGAATCTATAGGGGCTACCTTTGACATCCAAAGGTCTTTCTTCATCACTCTGTGAGCAGTACTCTTACTAATATCAATGTCTAGTCTAAATAACTGGTCCCATTATATCTTATAGTTTTATTAAATCATGACGTCGCGATGACTTGGATGTAATTTGCTGGGAACATTCCTTCCATTCCGGTTATTGCAGATCGACCGATCCACCAATATTGATCACTCGTGTCTGTTACCTCTATCAGATCTCCACGTTGAAATTCCAGTTCGTTTTCTTCTTGGGCAACAAAATCAAACAGTGCACGACCCACTTTATAGGTGTTGGTCATGTCCTTTAGGTAAATTGTCTGTGCACGACTGACAGAGGCGGCCCTATGATACTCAACTAGCTGATTCAATGAGTTAAACTTCACCACCCATAGGTAGTATTTCCCGGCGCCATCTCGAAGCACTTTAAAATGTTGAACCTGATCATGAAATCTGAAATAAAATGTTGGATATTCATGAGAATGTCATTTTATACAAAAGACAGATGTCGGAGTTTTTACAAAATACATCATCACAAGAATGTCAGGCGTTGACACCTCAATCATGCACTATTTCATACAATCCATGAAAAATACCCCAGGGGACTCCAGGAACCCAAGGGGCGTATACATTTCACGGCTCGTTAAACTGTCATCTTTACAAGTCCTGATTCCCATTCCATAAATGTCAAGCTTTTTTATTATAGGATATTGTGATCAACGTTGTCGAATGCTTTCGCAAGATCAATATATATTCCAACCCTCGTCTCCCCTTTATCCAAGCCTTATCGTATATTTTCAATTAAATTTAAAAGTGCCATATATGTTGAGTGTTTTTTCCTGAAACCATACTGCTGTAAATAAAGTATTTCATATTTTTCTAAGAATACCATAATAACCCTGCCATGCATACGTTTTTCTAACATTTTTGCAAAACGCTCAAAATAGAAATTGGTCAATAATTATTAAATTTGTCTTTAAAGTCCAGTTTTGAATATTGCAATAACTCGTGCTATTTAAAGCCATTTGGAGATTTACCAGAAGAAATTGATAGATCGAAAATGTTAGTAAGTAGAACTGCTAAAAATTCATGAAGTGATTTTCAAACAATAGGGTTTATATTATCAATTGAAGCGGCAGAATCTTTCAGTAATTTAATTCCTGTTGTACCATCATCTATTGTGTCTGGTGTTATGAAACATAATAATTGAACATTAAATAATCAAGGGTATTCTTTAAACCTATTAGCGGAAAATTGATAGTATAAAATTTATTTATTGAGCACTCACTTAACACTGAGACTAAAGTCACCGGCAGTGCTCTCACTGTCTCTAATCAGGAACGCTCCATCGTGTGGTTGCGCAAGTAGCAGTTGTTCTGCCTCAAGGCGTTTAATCTTACCATAGTACCACCTGAAATGTACAGAGTTACATCACGACTGCTCAATGAATAATGATTAAAGAAAGAAATTAAAAAAGCATGCTCTCCCAGCCCCAAGCCGGACAAATATTTCGATGACATCCCTTTATTGGAATCTAAAAATGGATTCGTGCTATTCTGATCAGTTTTTTTTCTTAATAGAGGCAAAAATGAGGGACTTCGCGGGAATTGGAGTAATATTCTGAGGTTTATAAATTGGGACTGAAAAGGACACGAGATATTTAAGTACGCATAATCTACAATATCCTGATTTAAGACTACAATATTTTTACCTTTCGAAATAGTCAATATAACCTGGTAAAACATTCAGTGGGATCTATTATTATTTCTCAGTGAGCGAAGCAGACAAACGACATGGTTAAACTTACGAGTGAGGCTTCATTTGAATGTAGTTTTTTGGAACAAAACCTTCTCTGCCAAACTGTTCTGCCTTGTACCAATTCTTGTCATCTGTCATGCTCAGGATCTGCAATATTCACATTAAACAGAAAATAAGCTTGTATTGTCGAATGCGACTAACGTCTCCTGGCTACCGGATTATCCTACTATTTTATTACCAACTCATAATACAGTAAAAGTAAAATAATACAGTAGAATTTTAAATGCTTGTGAGAACTTTGAATTCAAAAAATAAGCAATCAAATGACCAAATTGAAACAGTTTATGTAAAAATATAAACATTTATATTTATCCAAACTTTTGTATATTTTAGTTTGTTTTGTAGTTAACACCCCAGTCACATTTGTCGCACGGCGGTCGCAAGTCGACCGCAGATCAATAGTATAGTTTCCATATAGCTTTTGAAATCTCGCTAAATCTCGTTTTTCGTGAGATTTTAAGAGACTTGCATATTAGACCTGTAATGACTTACATTACCTTCTTTTAAATGGCATATTTGAATTCAGTGAAATGTTTTCTCCTTTAATAGCTTTGATTTACACAGTTATGTAATTTGAATAATTTTCTATAACAATTTAAAAAAACTTGGGCCAAATGTCCATAGATGCAATGCTAAAATTCTTTAAATCCGTGGATTATTTGTATGTCAATCAACATTTGCATGTTTAATCACATCATGTACATAAACAGGGTCATAATGTGGTAAATCATTCAAGTTTTATACAGATTCAACAAACACACTTTGATAAATCATGAAATTAAGCCACTTTTCCAAGATTTTAGCATGTAAATGAATGGAGCTCTAGCCCAAGTTAAAAGCTGAATAAAAGATGGCAGCACGAGATTTCATTGATTTTTCTGCTATTTAGAAACTATCCTATTAAATCGGTGAATTTCTGCGGCGAGCGTAGAAAAACTACGCTCGCTTTGCGGCCTCCGTACGGCGTATGCCGATTTTTACAGGCCGCAGGGAAGGCGTAGAAATTATGGGGTAATAATATTTGTTCATTTCTGAGGTCCCCGTAGAAATCAACTGGCTCAACAAGATTGAATCATTATTTGTCAATGTTTCACGATCACTTTTCATTTGATATTACATCCTAGCACTATGAATAACATTTATAAATTGTCCCGATGTAAATAAAATGAAAAAAAGTATTATTTATCAACAGATATTTAAAATTCACCGTGGGGCTGCCGTGGGAAATGTGACTGCAAAAGTATGAGAGCGTAGAAATTCCACGGCGAGCGTAGAAATGGTACTGGCCGCAGAAATGATAGACCGCAAGGTCGCCGTAGGAAATGTGACCGGGGTGTTAGCTATCATATGTATCTGTGTCCTCTTATATTTTGATACTTCTTTGCCATGTTATTTTCGGCAAAATTAACATGGCTGAAGCTCCCTGAATTACAAAAGGCCACAGCTTCGCTGCACATTATACATTACTATCTGAAATATTCAAAAGTTAGGATAACTATAAATGTTTCTATTTTTACATATACTGTTTCAATATGGTCATTTGATTGCTTATTTTTTAAATTCAAAGTACTCACAAACATTTAAAATTTTACTATAGTGGCAGGTACTTTTCATATTTAAATGAGTTGCCCATAAAATAGTAGGTTTATCCGGTAGCCGACAGCCGTTAGTTGCTTTGTGAATACAAGCTTAGTTTCACTTTTCTGAATCGCGAGAATTGAACATTGTTTCTTCGTTCACTCAATCATTGTATTGGGATATTGGGTGTTTGCAGCTTTTGACTGATTTTACTTTGTTTTTTACGCTTTTAGTCTTCCGTTCAATATCATATCATATCTCGCCTCAATATCATTGAACGATCTGTCTTTTTATACCCCTTACATTCGCCCGACTTCGCTTTTTAAAAGAGAGAGCTTCGTCAGGTAGTATACAACTGGTCTCGCAAAAACCATTAAACGCTCGTTGTTGATAACATGGGCGCTCGGTTTACAATCTTATAGACACCATACTGTACGTCGGGTTTATGGGAACTGTACTATCCATAAAACTTACAATATAAGCCAACTAGTATCATGTTCAACATTGAATAGAGGTAAAGGTATAACACTTTATCAAGTACTATTACACCAAATTCCATCAATTCGTGAATAACGATGTGGTCAAAAGTCACTTTAAAGTCTTTCTAGATCTTATCATCGATACATGTTTAAGCTACATGATAAATAAGCGTTGTCGCGAATTGACTCGAACAAAAAATGCACGCAGACTGAACATTTTTCACAGTATCAATTCATGATAATCACTTTATGCCAAACTCGTAAAAGTAATGGGGTGAATCATATAGCTATAAACTACATTACAAGCGGGTCACTAACTATTTTATTGTTAAAATTAACCCACTCGCATGAAAAGAAAATGTTTTTTGGATATTAAATCTAATATAAAAACCAGTTCTTTGAATGTCGACTATTGATAAGTGTAAAATGTATGTCGGTTAACACATTTGAATGGCTATTCTTTAAATGAATGTGCAACCTTATAGTCCAGGGTCAACGACTCAAGCCAGGTAACATATGGACCTGTACATATAAATCAAGAAAAAGCCTAAACATAACTAAAACACAAGTCATATTAAACACATTCATACTTCATTCATTCATATTTTAAGGAAAGTTCTACTTTACAACTATAACTCTGATATTCCATTATTCACCTATGATCCATCCAATTTATATCTTGTATATCAGATTTGATATAGGCTTGTATGATATATATCTTTATCGTATGATCTGTAAAATGAAGCCTTCTGATTGGTCAGTTCTTGTGCTGTATCGATCTGCTTTGCTACTGAGATTGTCCCCATTGATCATCTCCGTCGCAATATAGAAAATATTGGTACGGAGGGGACATTCTCAGTAGCAATACAGAGGATCTGGATCACACGATAAAAACGTTATAGAATGATTTGAAGTGCAATACAGGATATATTCTGCTCTCGATATTTTGTATTGGCACTCGACTTCGTCTCGTTCCAATACGGAATTTCTCGAGCAGAATATATCCTGTATTGCACTTCAAATCATTTAATAACTTATAGTACTAGGAACAAAATCTTCAATCCCAAAATAAAATTCTCCTTTATTCAGCGCTTTCAAACATTCTGTGCTTTTATTTGATTTTTCAATTCGTGTTTTTCAAACAAAACAGCACTTGATAAAATAATAATGCGTTTGTATTGGCATTTCTAAGTTTCAAAGAATATGTTGCCTTTTATTGATGTGACAGTGCATACTCGGGAGTACATAATACTTAAAAGTCATCCCCTTGGTGTGAAATGTCACATAATCTCTCCAATTTCTTTGGATTTGTTTTTTAAATTCAATTTTCTCTATGTACATGTGTATGAGCAAAATTTGTCGTTTCAAAGCTTTGTAATTCTTGAAAATTATGTTTTTTTAATGGAAAGTTAAATGATGGCCATGGGGACTATCATACTATTGCAAAAACGTATTTATCTTAATTAAAACTGTACGTATAATTGAATATGAAGACGTGTTTGGCCACCATGTCCTTCATTCATCATTATTCATTTATTTAACAGAGCAACTTTTTTTCACCTCAACTAGAGAGGCATCTAACATTGATTACCTTTAATCCTTCTTAAAATAAACAACATATGGATATTTACCTTTAGTATAGATCCCTTTTGAAATGGTAATTCATCGTCGTTACAATCTGGTAGCAACAAATTAGGCATACAAACAACTGCGAAAGTGTGTAGTGCCACTGCCTCCATTTTGATTAGACAGGTTTCTTCACCCAGTCGAATCACTCAAAAATAACGTTCTTTTTGACAGGTTATGAACTGATACTGCTAAGTATGAAAGAAAATAAAACCACTTATCGAAAATCAGCTGCAATAATCCCGATAATAATCTAGCTTATTAAAGATGTATTCAATAACATCGACATATGTTCAAGTGTTAAAAGTTGTTGATTGCAATTGATCCAAAAAGTTTTTATGTGTCGTTCACCTCTTAAAGTTTTGAGGCAAAACGTTACACTTATAAAGGGTATACACGAGGGGTAAAGTTAAAGTTTTTGCTATTCAGCAGGAACAATATCAGAAAACGTGAAAAAGGTTTTGATTTACCTTTGTCTTTTAAAAAGAATCTTGCTTGAATATGGTGTTTTAAAAGATTCGATACTGTCGCTTTTTTAAATATGACCTTGTACAAGTTTTTATTAATCTTTATCCATGAAGTCATTGGCTAAGCATGAAGTTTTATCCTATTTATTACTAAAATCATTCAAGCACTATTTTTCTCATGAAAAATTGGTAAACAATTTTTTTTCAGTGAGTAACAGGTCTGTCGCAACTTTCATTAAAAAATGCCATCCCTACATTACACGTCAATTTAGCAATGATCAATACATAACTGTCTTATCTAAAATAATAACCCATCAGCGTTCTTTTTTACAAACATTGCAAACATTTGATAACACAAAAGCATTGACACCACTGCCCAATAAGCCTTTGTATTTCTATTTTCATACGTATGGATAAGAAGAAACATACGTTATTGTGTTGTAGCTCAATTTTAGTAAGTGTGTATCAATCGTGAATGCACGCATATGATTCCCTTGTTGTTATTTATATTAATGATAAAACAGAGTCATGACATTTTAAACGATAATTAAGAATATACTATAAATGTTCTCAAAAGAAACATACGATGTAGAAACATTCGTTACAGAGTTATATGAAAATAGCAGTTTGAACATTTCAAGTACCTTTTTGCTTAGCTGTAAAATGTAACTAAAAACGGGGCGCACTTCAAGCGATCTGTCGAAATTTCGTTTCTTATCCAAAATAGGTAGGGTCCACTTCAATTTTACTTTATCTTAACATTAATGTTAATGAATGCATTCAAACGTTGTCAGAATATTTATTAATCCTAAACTTAGAATAGAAAACAACGATTATATATGATATCTGATGATTCGGTTATTTTTATCAGGTAGGAAACATACGATACAATATGTAACATATGTTTCAGAAATTCTCTGTATGATGAATGGACTGTTTCGAACACTTAGAAGGATCGCAAGGAATAAAAATTGTTGAGATAGAACAAAAAAGAAAACTGGAAGCATATGCAGTGTAATGTATTCAGTTGATAATTATGTTGCTACCATTTATTTGAACGTAGGGCGTACATAAAGCTTCTGTAAGTAGATAACAAAGAACATCACTGTTTTTTTATTTAATTTTTTTATTTCAGAGAAGAAAAAACATGTTGTTTATGATAAAAAATGTCGGGGGAATTCTGCCTACAACTCATGAAATAAGGAAAAGCGTAACGTCGAGGTTCCGATATTTTGTTACCGAAATGGATCCTAGTTTGATGAGTACAGTACCAGTGACAATAAAGTTGAAATTTAATGCATGCTGCAAAAGAAGAATATGTTGCATTTGCCAACTACAGGTGGTATTCTCGGCATTCAACATGATAATATTGTGTTAGGTGGACGAACCTGTCCTGTCCGGCAAGTTTGCAAGGATGTATGATATAGACAAGTATAATTTGGAAAATATCGAACAAGTCTTTACATGTAAATGAAACATACATAACAAAGATATTTTGTAAGCTATAGTTAGGTGATGAATGCAACTTTGAGAATCTGTTTGGCTTTCTACCAATCCAAATAGACATTTGTAAGACATTTTATAGACTCGTCTGACGCTAAGACTCTTTTGATCGTATTTACAAGAATGATATAAGATCTGCAAACAAATCCTCTCATGAAAATGAAACATACATAAAATTATGTTTGAACAGAAAGCTTCGTTTGACTTTCCTAAACAATGTTAACATGTACGAGATGTTATATACAGGGTGTCCCGAAAGTATGCCCCCCTAGGCATACATATTCCAGTGTCCTCATAGTATGTGTCATATATCATTTTAAAGCTTATCCAAAGTTACATTGATTTGCCAAGTATCATGGTTTAACTCCCAAATGGGAAAAAGTTACAGTAATTTTAAAAGTTAGTGTTTTGTCAAAATAAAGTTCAATTTTACACCACATTACTAGTCAATGTGTCCCCCCCCCTTGGCCATGTTAACAGCAGCAATTATTTTCAGATATGACCTCAGAAGCCCTTCAAATAGTGGTGTGGACTTTTATAACCCTCTTAAAACCTGTTAAAGGACTTTAGAAGAGTTTCCTTAGAGTTTCTACCCTTACCGTTCTCTTTTTCCAACTCACTATCCAACCGACCCGAAAATAATTGCTGCTATTAAGATGGCCCGGGAGGACACATTGACTAGTGTTTTGATGTAAAATTGAACTTAACTTTGACCAAACACTAAATTTTGAAATGCCTGTAAATTTTTCACATTTGAGAGTTGAACCATGACACTTGGCGAATCAATGTAACTTTGGATAAGCTTTAAAATGATATATGACACATACTTTGGGACACCCTGTATATGATGATAAGAGCTATTTGATCACGTTTCAAAATATGTAACATATGTTATCTAGAATTTTTGTTTAATTCGGAGGGGAATGTATATTTTTGTTGATGCAAGCATATTTTGTGGAAGAAAAATGTCTTCATTATTTACCAGACGGGTAAAGTTTATGCAATATGAGTCTAAAATGTTAAGTCAAGGCGCAGTTGATCGTTTAACTTTTATTTCTAAAACCGTGTATACGAAGGTTGTCCCAGAAGTAATGCACTATATGCTGTAACTTTATTTAATATTCTTCAATTCAGCTGAAATTTAGTGTATATATCAATTGAAGATCTATCTGTCATATCCCGAAGTTTCAGCATCAAACATTAATATTAAGTCTTACTATGGTTGCTTTAACATGGGGGTAGGGGTGGGCGGGCCAGGTTCCAATTTTTCGAATTATAAAAAGATCCAAAGTGTTATTTTATTAATATTTCTTTTTTTAAAATATTAAAATGTTTGGGAAATTGTTAAATTTGTTCAGCATGAAATAGAATGAACTGTATTTTATTTTAAAGAATATCCAACTGTAACAAAGAAGAGTGCATAATTTTTCTATTGTTTTTAAAGAATACACACTTCGCGTTCAAAAACCAATGTGGCTCAAAAGACGATTGACTGTCACAGGGAGTGCACTAAAGCTGAACTTATTATATCCTATTCACTTTTCAATATGTAATTTCAAAAGTAAACAAAAAAGAAATCAAACTTTAAACTGTACATGCCCTGTTACATGCAGTGCACTGAAGCTGAACTTATTACACCCACTCATTTCTCAATATCCTTACTTCTGTACTTCATAGTCAATACAAAAGAAATCAACATTTTCTGAAATTGGAGCATGGACCATTTATAAGAGTGCCCAATGTGTGGTTTAAGTTAGAATAATAGCCCTTGCCTAGTGGACTCGGCCATTATTCCTCCTAAAACCCCAAACTCGTACAGAAACATACATTAAATCATTAAATGTTCCATGCAGGCAAGAAAAGTGACACCACCCGCCAGCCTTGGAACAGTGTTTTTGTTCCTAATTAGGTAAAACAAACAAACGAGCCTTCTGGTTGCCATGCGCTTTTATAAATGCCGCCAAAACTGACCGCCAAACACCTTTGTCACGTTTGCCGTAACCCTGCAAGTCTATTACATCGTGCACGATTAAAGGCCCACTTTGGGAATTTTCAACATTTTTGGGCAAAATCAAGACATACATTTAAATTTCATACTATGTCCAATGTATTGTTAAGAACCTTATCTTTCATATGACATCAACTACAGCTCAAATGAACCACATCAAAGCTTAAATTAAATTATCAAAAAGATGGCAACTTTTTTTGTATTACATGATACATTCATTTTTATAGAAGTGTCGCCATATTTTAAATCAATAGAAATTTAAAACATGCACTTTGTTTAACATGTGCATGCATGTCAAATGATCTCTGAACTTAAAATGCTTTTTTCTGTGTGAGTTAGTCCAATATCAAAGCAAATCAAACTTTGTGTCATATTGGAGCAAGTGTGTGAGTAACATGTTTCAATGATTTTTTATTGATCAGTATGTAATTTTCAAAGATTTATACAATAAAAAATGTTGATATTTGACATATTCATTTTTATTGATTTATATAAATATGTACATATATATTAAATTGCAAAGGTTTTTACAGTATTACAGAAGGAATGTACAGTGTTGTAATTCTGTGAAAATATTGGTCCCTTATTAATAATCCAAATTAAGCACCACAGGAATATGCATGTCATTAGGAGGTGAACTGAAATCCATTTTGACAGAAACACCTACCAACCATTGTAATCGAAACACACTTTTTATTCAAAAATGAATCATTACTTGTATCACCATTACAATTTGAAAAAGCGTTCTTGACAAGCAAAATTCAACCTTGAAAAAGTGTCCATATGTAATGATAGGACATATCTTTCAGTTTTGAACTTTTCATTCAAGCCAGAGCAGTTTCTAGGCTATTTCCTTTTCAGTAAACAAAACCAGTACACATGTAGATGGTGCAAGCTCATTATAATTAGGCCAAATTAGACAATTAGACAGAAAATTTAGCCTAATTAGACATATATCGGCCTTATTAGATACACTGTATTTAGACAGATAGCTGGGCCTAATTCGAAAATTTGATACTTGCCAAAAATCTACTGACATATAGACTGGAAATTAAGTTCCAATGCCCTTGGTTAACAGCATAGGCAAAGGTCGATAGAAATAATTTTTAAATAAAGATGGCATGGTAATCGATCTGTTAAAAAAGATAATACTGGATTCATCCTCATCCTGTATCTCCATGACATACTAACCCATTTCTGTTTCTTCATGTTCCATTGTTATTATATTCAGATTGCAAACATCCAGATATAAATTCTTGATTCTCATCAGGTGCATTTATTTGTCACTATTTTCAAAAGATACGTGTGGAATAGTTTTCTCTTTTTGTTTTTCATTGTTTCTTTTCTTAATGTAATCTTCTAATTGTTCAGTCCTTTTTCTGTCAATTATTTCCATTTCTCGAATTTTCTGGAATACAGAGAAAAAAGTTTCAATTTATGTTTTGAATATGCAAAGGATACTGTTATACAGTATAATATTTGTTTATGATTTATCAACACATTAGGGTTAAAGATGATTCATATGTACTTGTACATTTCATTCATTTCATTTATTTATTTTCAAGCATCTTGTGAAAAGTATTGTATAGAAGATAGTAAGGACGTTAACTGATAATAATACATCAACTATACTACTATTTCAGAACTAGAACCGAGAAATACTTTTACTAAAATTACTATAACAGTACAATGTACATCAATAATAATGTTTGAAGAAAGTGGTTTGTAAATGCTATAAACAAAGCCGATAAAAGTGTTTATGCTTATTGTAAGTGTTAACACAAAATTCATTCTATGAATAAAATTTGATGAAATTTCTGTCATTTCGTTAACTTGCCTGTGATACTTCTGTATCTATAATTTGTCTGAATTTATCTCCTTGTCCGAGCTTCTCCATATCCTTCATGAACTGCTTTCTCTCATTTATCTCACCCTGTACTGTAAACAAAATAATAATGGACGATGAAACAATGAAAAATACACTCACATGTCTTTATAGGTATATTCACCCTTCTTATAAATTTAAAGGATTAATTCATATATGATGTTCTTCTAATAGCATGAAAGTTACTTGTTTACAAATTAAAGGGTGGACTAATCTTTTTGGATAATTTCTTTTGTAGTTGGTCTTTCTCAGAATTTAATAAGGCATGTTCTGGGGAAAAAATGTGCCTCTACCTCCTCTTAGAAGAAAGTTAGAGCTATTTAAAGATATCATTTGCCCGTATATTTAAACCATGTTTTCTTGTCAAATGCAGCATGTGACTGTAGTTGTGTTTTGAACAATTTTGAATTTATTAATGACCCAAACTTTCCAATGATACATTAAATACATCCTAGTAAGAGAGTGGGATAAATCTGCCTCCCAACCAACAGTGTAATTCCAATAGACAATGAAGAATATACCACAAATAAACAGGATATATAAAGGTTATGTACTTGGAGGTTTTGGATATAGGGTATATGCTGAGGGATATATTTCTATCTCCCTGAGGGACCGAAGGAAGAAAGGGGAGATATGAATATTTCCAGAGGGGTACATTGTGTACCCTATATTCCAAAACCGACCATACTGGTGTATCTCATACTTGAGTGGGTTTGGGGTTCTACCTTTTTCAAATGACAAGATAGGCCTATACTATTAACTGTAAAAGCACAATTTATATTTAACATTTTCGTAATATTCCTTTAGTTCAATACAATGAAATTGTAACATTTTTAAACAATCTTAAACTTTTAAAATTTAAAATTTCTAAACTTTTGAAAAATTTCTGGGAGTGGGATGGATATATTCTATCTTTCCACATTTGGCCTGGAGCGGGACATATTCAATATATTTCCGGCGATATCTACCCTACACCCACTCAAGTATGAGATACATAGAAATAGCTGTTAATCTGATACATACATTCATCAAATCTATCCACATAAGGTTCATCCTCTGGTAACATCTTAGCTCTAGCTTTTCTTATAGAGGCTGATGTGGGAGCAGGCAAATCTTCTCCATATGCCATCATATTTTGTAGCCTCTCCTTATCTTTATCTGCACTGCGATCTAAATCATAATAAAAACAAATTCAGTTATAGCTAGGCATGTATCAAAATTTTTGGGAAGATCAAAATACACTCTAATACCATTGATTGGTATTCAGTAATGCACACTGGCTTCTTTCAATAACAGCCACCAATGCATGTTATGTTCTGTAGCTCTATTAAAAACATATTGATTGTGAAGACAGGGGGTGTATTTCAGATAGTTTAAGTTAAATATAGTTTATTTATGTGTCACAAGCAATAATATAAAAATACATTTAAAACATTTTTTTTAAAAACATTGTTTCTAGCCGATGCTGGTTTATGAGACACCAAGTTAATACATGTGTGGCCTGGATAATATTAAAATTCCCATGTGAAAATTACTTTACTAATGCACAATAAGACACATTTATTTCAGATCACATTTGAATTTTTTAAATTTAGAAATCATCTTCAATCTTCAATCAATTTATATTTTTGAATGTATGAAACACAACATGAATGATGCAAGATGCTATACATGTAATAGGATTCAAGTGAAGAAATTGACTACACAAATTTAAATGGCAAAATTCTCGAAGCCATAACTGGGTAAAATGTACAACATTAACAAAACCTCTATAAACCATACGAATCTTACTTGGCCCAGGTTGTGGTCTGAACTTTTGCCTCTTATAAGCACCAGATGCTTCAATATCTTCTTTCTTGCGCATGTTGCCTTTGTAGTTCCTAAACATAATCATTTATCAATTTACTTTCAGTAATATAGGTATGTGTGCTGGATGAATATAGCAAATATGACATTGATTCTAACTCTTAAGACATGTAAGCCTTCACTCAAAATAATGTCTGAAGTGGTACATTCTGAGAAAATCAACAGCAAAAGTATTTGCCTGAACTTCAAAAAATCTGTTTTGGTTATGGCAGGCGTACATGTATATCATGTATACCATGTTAGGATATATAATGGGCTGATTTCAAAATGTCTGGAACTATCATCGATTTTTACACACAGCCTCATGGGTGAAGAAAGATGGCTCTATCAAATACATATGTAGTTCAAAGCCAAGGTTCACTCACATGTATGGGAGTAGTTCTAGAAGGTAGGTAAGACAACTTACTTTGGGTTTAATACTTTGGGAGGTGGCGGGGGACCAACTGTTTCTAGCATCCCAGGTTCAGCACTGGTTGTTGGAAGAACTCTGGGGGGTAACGTCTCACCCTCTGAACATTAAAAATAATCATGTACGGTAAAACCTATCTAAGTGGAACACCATTGGTACCTCTATAAAGTGGTAAGGGTTCCACTTCTAAAGGCTCATTTAATATGAAGTCAGTTGATCTTGGAACTGAAGTGTTCAACCAATGGAGGTGTTCCACTTTAAAGGTTTCACTGTATACTTAACAAATACAAATATATGTACACATTTTACATATAGATGATATTAATATTTTAATCAATTATTAATAAAAGAATTGAACTGCTGAATATTGGAGACCCATTGACACCTTTCCTAGACAAAATAATGCAATTTCTCACTTGTGACAAATTGTTTCCATTTCAATACAATTACCTTTCTCAAAAATACCTTTGAATGATATTTAAAATGAGTACTTGTTGCAAGTGAACTACTTTCTAGAGTGCACAGAAAACTCTGTGTTGTGATTCCTAGTCTGTTGGCTCGTGACTTCAGAAAGTTGAAACAATCAAACACAATTTTTAGTTTTAAAGATATTATGATTATTAGCTAATTAGACTCTTTAAATGTCAGAGGTAAATTTATTAAAAGTAAACATACTCTGCATGGTCTGTGACAGTTGCCTTTGTTGGAAAGCTGTTAGTTTGGATTCCTTCATCATTTCTGAAAGCACATATACAGACATAATACAACAACGCTGAAAATGGATTAATTTGTTCAAAGAATTATCTACAGTAAAGGACATGTATATCCATCCACCCCATACAGACAGATTGCCTAAAATTACATTTAGTATGATGTGAAAAACGACATTTACCAGGAAAGTACAAACATTTTATCACCCATGATGCAAATTAATGTTTTACTGCTTGATAAATGATGAATGACAGTCACATTAAGTTCTATAAGTATGTATTACATACCCAGTGGAGCATTTGTATTGAAGTCAATGGAGCTGAAGGTCGGCTATATATTCCTGTATAGCCGCCAAACCTTTTACCATGACAATCTTATGACGTCATCGGGACGTCATGTTTCATTTCTTCCTAATTTCACTCGCACACAGACACGTGGCGTCATTGATATAACGTAGCCATGATATAAAAGTATGTAATACAACAGTTACCCGTATGTCCGTATCATTGAATATATGCCTTCGGTCTGTCGTAATATAACCCTCGCAAGCTCGGGCTATATTGGTGACAGACCTTAGGCATATATTCAATGATAGGGACATAACTGCTAAGAGAATAGCATGTCAACTTGATATTTCAAGGTAACTCGTTCGATAAAGGATGACAGTAATTGAAATGATGATGTAAAGATAAAATGCCAACGAAATATTTGTAGATTTCTTTGAAAAACTAAGAAATACTGTATATATCTGATATTGAATTTTTCAAAACAGAAAAAGACCTGTAGGTCCGATTCTCCCTGGTAGCATTAACATTGGTCTCGTATAAGTCATACAATTAGTATTTGAAACTCAACTATTATTCAAACTTATGATCGGACATAGGTATGATGTGTAGTTTTTAATAATATTAATAAAGTACAGTCTCTTACACTGCTTCAAAAGTGAAGCAGTTGAACCTGAATAATAAGAAATCTATAGACCATTGTGCCATAATATAGAGAAAAATATATTCATATTGCACACAAATGACATTTGTATATTTCAGATTATTTAGTGTTTAGTGCAATAAGCCTGTGCCCTCCTGTAATTTGAGGTCTGTCCGCCATTTACTCACTTCGAGAGCCATGTTAGATTTTGAAACTTATGGCTCTCAAACGGAGAAGTGAACAGCTGATCAATAGTGACCTTTGAAATCGAATTGAGTCGATCCGCGGCTTACTTTTGGTCTCTAACTGTGTCTTACATCAGTATCATCAATCCGTGTAAGTATTGGAGCGCTGGAGTACTTCTTTTTCGATCAAGACTTGTAAATTGTTCATCGAGTGAAAGTTTTTTAGACCTATTTCCAATATGGCGGTTTGCTAGGTGCGAGATACGCAGCGAACGAAATGAATTTTGAGAATTAGTTAGGTTCGGACATTAGCCCATGGTTCGGACAACCTCCGGAGATTTATGAAAATGTCCGAGCAGAAACCGCCATATTGGAATTTGGCAGTAAAACGATTCACTCGACTAACAATTACAAGTCTTGATCGAAAAAGAAGTACTCCAGCGCTCCAATACTTACACGGATTGATGATACTGATGTAAGACACAGTTAGAGACCGAAAGTAAGCCGCGGATCGACTTAATTCGATTTCAAAGGTCACGATCATTGAGCTGTCCAAATGCTCCGTGGGAAAGCTATTATATCAAAATCCAAATAGCTTTCGCAGGAAGTAATCCGCCATGTTATTTTTTGAGAATTAACATGGTAGAGAAGCATCAAAATATAAAAGGTTACAGACTTTATGAGCCAATTTACAAGCAATCCAACATGTACAAATGTCATTCGTGTGCAATATGAATATATGTTTCTATATATTATTGCACAATATTATTTAGATTTCTTATCAGGTTCACTGCTTGCCTTTGAAGCAGTGTAACAGACTGTAACGAGAAGTTCGAAGAAGTTTCCGTGACATATTCTGTCACTCAAAAAGTCGTGACTTCAGTGCATGACAAATACGTAAATTGCGGGACAGTTAGAGTTAGACGGCCTGTGTGTGACACGGCTCATAACGATTTTAATAGATTTTTTCTAAAATTGTTCAGAAATTTCTCCTTGCTACTGACTTTTGAGCTCGAAAGTCGATGTAAATATCTTATTTCTTGCAATAAATAATTCTTTAACACAATAACTTACGTTTCATCAGTTCTTGTGTCTGTTGGCTGTATTGGGGCTGCTGTGAACTCCAAAATCCACCCTGAGCTACTGCCTGTCGACTTCGGTCCGCCATTTTGATGCTTCACTTAGGAAACGTGACGTCACATCCGCAGGTTCTCCATGACACACCCAATGCTTGCATATTCCATTTCATTTATATATCACAATTTGGAAGTATTGGGTCTCGTTTCCGTGTAGCATTCAAATATAAATTACCATTAAAGCTATTCTACGATATTATAGAGCTTATTTATACCCTAAAATTTAATAAAATCTTCAAATACCTTCTAAAACTTTATTTGACGCGTCATGATTGTTTTTATTTGAAGAGTCATGTGATTTTTTATCAAATATAGAAATTTTTACTTTATATGTTATAATATCACAATGAGAAACATCTACATAACTTATTTTATGTCAAGCGACAATTGATCCTCGCGGGGTGATCATAAAGGTTTGTTTGGGTTTAATTTGTTCCTTTCTTACAGCTAAAGTTTCCTCTTCTTTATTTTTTATTTCACATGTTCAACTGTTGATGATCTAGCCTATATTGTCTTTAGCTTTTAGACTATTCTGTTTCACTTTCAGATTTCAACAAGTAAACCCAGTCTGCCAGTCCGACCTTATTAATTTATTAATATGACATGCTGTCTCTTAGTTACTACTTTTTTTCAAGGCCTGACTGCGACGCTAACATGCTAAATATAAGAGTTAGCTGACGTTTTGGAGTCTGACTTACCTTCTAAAGGTTAGAACCCGAATCTTAATGAAACCATATCACCTTTGTTGCGTCGATGATGATGCATAAACATAGCATTTGATAGAAATTAGCGTAAATGCTTTTCCGACTTTTTCATTTTTCATCAATGTTGACTTCCGGGAAGGCATTGTAGTTATCACGAAATAACGCATTGACCCTTGAACTTTACTTTGTTGACGTGTCAACTAAGCATGTCTGGTGTGAAAATTAAAAGAATATTAAGCAATGTTCTACATCCGCCAAGCTAAGTGAAGTAGTCAATATTTAAAATTACCAATTTCAAGTGAAGTACGCAACGAACGAAACTGCGTGATCTACACTCCCACTATTGGTCTGAATGAAATGCTACGTAGAAATATGAGCCGTCTGCTGTATTAGTCGATTAATAGAGTAAGACCTGTTGGTGATGCTTTATAATTTAGACCAAAACATTGAAGAACAAACGAACCTGTAAATCGTGAAAACAACGAACAAATATTCGGTTTTCACATATGTTCGGTAATTTTTCGTATTGAAACTTCCGGAACTTACAAGGAAATCATTCATTTTCTCGATCAATGATTTACCTCTTGGATGTTTTGGCAAATGCTCCATGGTTGACGGAACAAAGGTGATATGGTTTCATTAAGATTCGGGTTCTAACCTTTAGAAGGTAAGTCAGACTCCCAAACGTCAGCTAACTCTTATATTTAGCATGTTAGCGACGCAGTCAGGCCTTGAAAAAAGTAGTAGTGTTGTTGTGAAATCGTAAATGTACACTTCGGCAATTTTTATACTCCTTGTTACATGTTAAAAAGGCAAGAACTTAACTTCGACATATGAGTGTTACCTGATGAATGGGACCCTCACGTGCCTTCCAAATGGTAGTAAACTCCAATGTAACTACATCAGCTTATCTTTCCGTCCGATCAACAATAAGTACAGTTATACAAGAAATGTAAATGATCTGTAAAAATTCCCAAAAATGTTCCAACTGGCTTGTCATTTCTGGAAGTTATGATACGTTATATTACCGAACATGTGTGAAAATGGAATATTTGTTCATTTATTTTACGAGAGCTAAATAAAATGCGAACATCCGAGCATAGAACAAACATTCCATTTTCACACATGTTCGGTATGCAGCAATGCAGCTCGGTGCACCGATGTAGTACTGATCGTTGCACAGATCGATGCATCGTTCGATGCACCGAGGTGAGATGTCACCAGTTTTCTGTACTGTAGGTATTCACTTATCGTGTCCTACGACCCCCACTACGTTTGTGGTCATACGCGCAAATCATTGGTCAGTCAATCATTGTTTATTATTTTTGCAAAGTTGGAGAAAATACTACGAATTGCATACTTAAATGACCTACCTCTCTACATCCATGAGTATTGAAGAATCCTTTTTACGTAGTTGAACCGCCAATTGTATGGGTTTATCGACAGAACGAAGAGATTTTTCTTTTTGAATCGGAAATATTAAGCACTTTCTAAGGTGGCGGAAGCTCGTCGGAGGGGGATTCCCCTTATGACTGGTGCATGCCGGGACTGGATATACTACTAAATGGAGGAATTTGACGGTTGAAAAAAGTTAATATTACACACAACCTATTGTTATCATACTGCCAATAAACCCATACAATTGGCGATTCAACTACATAAAAAGGATTCTGAAATACTAATGAATGTATCGAGGTAGGTCATTTATGTATGCAATGTATCTAAAGTGGTCGTAGGATTCGATAACGTACATGACGTATGCACCAGATTTAATTTTTTAAAACATCAATGTTTTGTTTCAGATACATTTTTTAAGAGAAGTCAGTTTATGTAGGTTGGATTGAGTTAAACTTGTTGAACTAGTCTACTCAAGCCTGTTTTAACTAGAACACAATTTTACAGGTATGATTTTGCAGCAGGAACAGTGAATCCAAATATTTGCTCAAGGTCATCAAAATATGAATGCGATTATTTCACTCTGCCATTTCTGTGAGAAACATGGGCCAAGTGTTCTATTCTGCACTCAAGCATTCCATTCACATGATCCTCACAATGACAAAGAGGACGTGTCATCTAAAGAAGGACAGTCATACTACTCAAGGTGTCGCAGGCTGAAGTCACCATTCCAGGGTACAGGTGATCAAACACCAACTGGAGATCTCACACCTGGAACTCCAACAAGCTTGCCTGCTAGATTCAAGTCATCAGACCTATGCGAAGTATGTGATGGTTCTGGTTGCTAAGATTTTGTTTATAGTGCCTGTGATTTGGTAATATGAAAACATAATCAGACTTCAGTATTTTGAAATAGATGTAAGTTATAAGTTCATCAAAGACATGTAAAATTACGAGAAATATGATTCAATGAACCGAAATTGTTGGCTCTCATGGCCATTTTGTTTCAAGAGCAATGTGTCTTAATGGTTGATATGAAGTGTACTTAAAGTAAATTTGCATTGTATATGGACTTGTATTTTGAATTCATTACAAACACTTGAATGCATTGCATTTACTACATTGAAATTACTTTTGTGTTTTAGGCATGTAGGTCATTGTTGCCTGGCCAACCTGGGTTTATAAGCAATGATCACGAGGCTAAGGTCAGCTATGTAAGCAGTCAGCACCCAGACCATCCTGAAGTGTTCTCTCTTGTTAGACAGGCCTGTGTGCGTAGTCTCAGTTGTGAGGTAGGGTTTCTGTATATTGCAAGAAATGTTCATACTAGGGGTTGGGATAGGGGGAGATGTAAGGCCTCTTTCCCTTACTTCTTAACAAGTTTAGCTGCATTTTTCTGAAACTGGACACCTTCTTCAACATTTTCTGATTTCATTGATCTTCAGGTTTGTCCCGGCAGAGAAGGTCCAATATTCTTTGGGGATGATCAACGTGGCCATGTGCTGAGTCACACCTTCTTCATCAAAGACAGCCAGGCTAGAGGCTTCCAGCGCTGGTACAGCATACTAGTCGTAATGATGGACAAAGTTTATCTACTGAACTCATGGCCTTTCCTTGTTAAACATGTACGGACTGTCATAGATGAACTACAGGCCAAAGCTGCCAAAGTGTATGACACAGAACAAGCAAAGTGTCCACAAAGGGCTCATAGGTTGAACAACTTAAGTCTTAATGCAACCCCATTGAGCTTTAGACTGCAGAGGGGAGCTAACAAGGCAGCAAGGTCCCTCATAGAACTAATAAATGACAAAGAGGTGTTCAAATCTCTCCATTTGTCATTTACATGGATACTGAAGGCTGGAGGGAACAGAATGACTGAGCGGCTCCTTGAGGGACCCCCTACGGAGGATTCTATTATTGACCTAGAAAGTCAAGAAGGTATTTAATTTATGTACATGTATAATCACTGTTAAATTGTAGCATTAAATATTCACCTTGAAATAGGGTGTTTTGCATTCACACCCCGATTGACCATTAACCTTACCCAGTCAAATATCCCTCTAGATTAGAGTATGTCTCTTTATCATCAATTAAATTTGATTGCTCCATTTGTATGAAATATTATTAATATCAATGCATTATAAATGATTTTACCAAAACAAAATATATAGGGGCAATTTTTGTCTACCTAAAATGTAATTCAACACATTTTACATCGACTTTCTCCAACTATAAAATAATTTGATAATTATTGATTTTGAATTGAACATCATTTCCATTAAAAAATGGATGTTTGTGTTACAAATCTAACAAAACTTATTATGCCAACCCTGTCCACCAAACTAGATTAATTTAACATTTTAGGGCAGATATCTATATTTTGACATACATGTATTCTTTACTAATTTTAGAAACTGAAGAAGGTTTCACCCTGGTTGTTACAAAGAAAGTCTCCACAGAATCAGTGCCCCCTATTGAAGAACTCCAGTCTCTAGAAATTAGTCTTCCTACATCAGAGCCATCTTTTGAAGACAACAAACATGAACCACAAATTACAAATCTCAGACATTTAGCAAAGGTAAAAACTTGTTCATCGCTTTGAGTGTGATTCTAATTGATATATAATCAGCATTTGAGTTCTATCATGGCATATTCATTTTCTGCTCACATGTTAGTAGAAAAAAAAGAAATTCTATGATGAGTGATATGTTTTATATCCACGAATGGATTTGATATTAGCACATTCAAGCATAGCCAGAGAGTGCATGCAAATATAATTTTTCATGAGTGCACGAGTGGATAAAAATCATATCATGGACAAAGCAAAATCATGTAGGATGTACACCTTTTATTCTATGGTTTTAAAGGGAAAACTTCTGTTTTTAGTGAATGGGCTATTGTTACTGTATGTCTCATTTTTAGTCAAGTAGTGGTTTAAAGGCTGTATTCAATGGTTTTGTGAAAATTTGCCAAAGTATTATATTTCCAGTTGTTACAAAATACTTTTTTTATTTGACATGATACCCTGAGATGCCGTAATATTATATTTTTCTAGGAAGCAGGGTGAATATCATCTTTATCTAATGTCCTGGAAATACAGAAAAATATGTGTCCAATTCTGCTTCTGCTCCTCCAGAATTAACTCAAATGTAACAGAAACTACTTGAACCTTAGATGTGTGGGATGCATAAATACTGTTACGATTTAATAGAGCTACATGTATAGGATGTGACAAACTGTATCTTAAACCTGCCAGTACATGATCATTAAATGAATCCTAAAATGATAATTTCAATATTTATATCTTTAAGTCTTGTAATTTAATCATATATTATTTATAAATGCAAGCAAAACTATGAGACTGACATGTCAGGTGTAAGGCCTTTATCTTTTCCCCATGGCATACTTTAACTTCAATTCCAATTGTATTTAATAAAAGATGGCAACACAAGTAAATAAATCAAATTAATATTTCCTAGAGAAGGGTTTGGTACCCTGTAATTATAAACATGAGAACATCAAAATGAGCGTTACATGCTTCCGTTTTTTAATAATATTTTCAAGAGTACCAGATAAATATAAACATCTGAGTGGTTATCTAGAAAAATTAATTTAAATATGAATCAAGCATAAAAAAATGTTCTGTCTCATTTAAAAGTAAACAAAACTCCCATTATTTTGGTGAAATCTATTTTGTATCATATAATCAACATGCATGCATATCATCATGTTTACATGTTTTGAATTACTTCCTTAAATTATATATGAGAAGTACAAAATAATTTTTTAATCAGAAGGTGTGTTGTATTGTATTGTATCTTTTATTCCTCCACAAGGGAGAGCAAACATATAAAATTTCATCATTTTAATATACAAAAATTATAACTACAAAGGAACATATTTACAAAAAACAGTGCTTGAGTTCATTGCCAATATCATGATTATGGACATGTGATTTCTCATAGTGCAATTCTATGTAAATACAAGGATCAGGATTTGATTACTTTAAAGTAACTGTCTAAATGATAGAGAGATGTAGCACACTCGATGATGAATTGATCGTAAATATCATCATTTATGAAAATATCTACTCTACTACCGAGTATAGTCTGTTCAAAAATATCTTCAGAAGCTGATAACAGCTTAACGCTATCATTGACTGGCAAAATATCAACTAAATGTTCAAGAAAATCATTTCTTTCGTTTAACATGTATGAGCACCCATGGACTTCTAATAATTATTTGAAGTCCATGGAGCACCCAAGGAAGTGTGCAACTATATCTTTGCATAGGATATTGCATTTTTTGCATTGAAAGAATTTATAGTTTGGAATAGTTGAAAGGTAAACAAGGTTAGCCAGATGCCACAAGTGTGTAGGATTTCGTTTGCCTATTATCCATGCAAAACTTGGTTCAATTTGAATTTGAATGTTGCTGAACATTACAAGATTACTATTTGCATTTATTCTTGCTAACCACATTTGCTCTTCTTGCGAATACATGTATACCTGGTATTTTACCATTTTTTTAAATAGTACTTTATGAATGGTTTTCCCTGTTTTAACAAAACTGTCTACATAATCACTGATAAGGTTCAACATCATAATTTCATGAATAAATCCTGATTGTGAACTCACACCCTTTAATAAAAATGAAGACAGCCTAAATAAAAACACTCGCCTTGTCATTACATTAGATGTTCTGCATAAGCGATCGAAAAATAACAGTTTTGCATTATTGATGTAACATGATATAGGTAACAACCCAAGAGTATAAAGAACAACATCCGAAGACACGTTGTGTTCATAGCCTTGGATTATTTTTGCTATTTCACGATATGCAACATCTAGAGAGTATATATTTTCACACGATAAGTTGTTCCACAGTTCGCAACCAAACAAGCTGTCGGCAAGATAATTGACATTATTATTTTGACTGCTACCATTGGATTTAGTCCTCCTTTTGGATGCCAATAGGTTTAACTGAATAAAAGCTACCATTCAATTTATTTTTTGCTTGGTGAACTGATTCATCATTCTTAAGTTGAGCGTGGAGTATGTTGCCAGCATAAGTGTGCGATCTTGTTTCTGGGACAGTATCGTTCTGAATTTCCCATTTACGCATGCCCATTTTATTTTCAAATTGTTTTTTTGTTTCGTTAAAGATAATAATCTTACTTTTACTGTTAATTCCAGCATGATAAGACATACGCCACTTAGAGCTATACTCTGACACTACGTTTAGTAATTCTTGTAACTCATTTGGTGTTGTCGCAATTACAGTGGTGTCATCAGCGACAAGTAGCATAGGGATGCGCATGTCGCCCATTAGAGCTCCAAGATTTGTATTTAAAAAATCCAAAGGCAATGCTGATATGATCAAACTTCAATTGTTATATACACAAAATTTCAGCCGAATTGAAAAATATTAAAGAAAGTTAGAGCATATATTGCATGACTTCTGGGACAACCCTTGTATATGAATAATGGGAAGTTGCGTACCCTTCTCTTTCTTGAAAGGCCCATGTTTTATGATTACCATTCTCCCACTTAGTATGTATACTGTGTACTGCCAATCTATTCATCCATTATAAGCTGTAACATGATTTTATACACTGTAATTACACCCAATGTACGTAATCTAAAGCTTGATCATATGCTTGCAGTTATTGCAATGTGTGGATAAGTCACGAGTTAGTTGTGACCTTAATATTACAACGTAATCAGACGTGTCACTTATTTTGAGCATTGCAAGATTGATTAGTTGATATCCGACCATCTAGGCAAATTACAGGGTATTATTGTTCACTGCCTTGCAATTACCAGAAGCTTTACTTTCTGACATATCTGAGCAATATGAGAGGCAATTGGAGTCAATAATATACTCATATTGCTAGATTTATTGGCGTCATTTTAATTAGTGCTGAAATTTTATACATGTTTTCTTTGATTGCTTTGCGTAGTTTAGTCTATATTCTTGTTTTACCTTTTTTTGGATGGGGAGAGGAAATGAAATCAGAATCAAAATTGACACCACACTGACAGTTTTTTTTCTTTCTACTTAGGGAATATTACTTCTTAATCACTTATTGCAAGGTTTTTCAGATTGTCTATAGCTAGCAGAACAGAAAAAGTGCATCAATCAAGATTATACTTCCATACCTATATAAATATATGCTTGCTATTTTAAGGTACTTGGTGGTGCTAGGATGCATGTATTGGCTTACCATGTTGTCATAGGCAACCAGGTTATTGTTAGGGGGAAGAATAAAATTTTGGTGAAGTCCATCATCACAGCATTAAAAGTAAGTGAGAGAGGATGAATTAATTTAGTTTGATTGATTGATTTTAAACATTTTTTCTCTCTTTCCTGAAAGGATCCGCGTAGAAAAGGTCATGGATCCGATTGTAGCACAGGGCACAGATTAAAAACTTGATATTTTTACCAACCAAAATGCTTGCAGATCCTGAGCAGGAATAAGTGATGAGCCACCTGTCACAAGTAATATTCTGTATGGACTGGCACTAACATCTGATCATTGGTGTGACAGATTACTTATTTGATGTTTTTGAACATACAGAATATATGTATAATAGAAAACAGTACTTGGCGGTTGGCATCTGGCCTCTGTAAATAATTAATATAACTTGAGAACTTTAACAAATACTGTAGATTGACTTCAAATTTTCTCAAAATCATCTACAAGTTCTCAAAAGTTCAAATCTGACATTAAATTTGAGATTCGGAGAACAAATTAGATTTGACCTTCACAAGATCAATAAATGTCAAAAAGGAATTTTCAACTTGCTTCAAATAGACCAATTTTTTAAATGATCTACAAGTTCTCAGAAATTCATATCTGATTTTTAAATTTAAGACTTGACTTTCAATGACCTTCTCAAGATAAAAAGGTCAAAAGGTCTTTTTTCAACTTGCCTCAAATTGACCAATTTTAAAATCATCTACAAGTTCTCAGAAGTTCCAATCTGATTTATGATTGAACTTGTTATTGTGAGCAACTACATGTAGGTTGTGACATTTTGTCATGTTAATACCATTTTGGGGACTTTGTATTGGATCTGAACTGGCTTCCTACAAATTTCAGAAGCGATTGATTTGGTCATTGTTTGGGGTATAATATAAAAATTCAAATACAAACTTTAAACATGAAATATAAGGAATGAAATTGATTAATTTGATTTTTCTTTTTCCTGCAGACATTGGTGCCTCGAGGCTGCTGTAGGACTGAGCCATATTCAGACACTTATTTGGAATCCTGGAAATGTAATTTCCTAGGACTATCCCCTGATATTAATATTCCTAATCACATCAAGAACACAGAACAATATGTCATGTTGGACATACTAGAACATAGTCAAGATAAAGACAGTGATTTAAGAATGCTACCAGGATATGACTTCAACCTCACTGCATCATCTGTTTTACCTGAGAAAGGTTAGTTTTCCTGATATCATATATTAAGTTACTTGAATGTAATATTTTTTTGTTTAGTTATGAGTGCAATTTGAATTGAAAAAGTAGCCATTAATCTTCATCACAGTGGCTCAGATTATTCAAAGGACTCACTAATGATGATTTATCATGGATGAACCATTTTTATGTCAATATCAGGAAATAGGGATTTATATCATTATAGCGACATGGCCGTAAATCAACACAAGTGGTCAGCATTTTTGATTTTCACACATTTATATAATTGCATTCCGTGTAAAAGATAATAGTACATCTCCTGGGCTCTGAATTAAATCTCACCGCCCTTATTCTTTAATTTTAGTTCCAACAGTTCTTACAAAGATGGAGCTAGCGTTGAGTAATGAGAACTTCACTGATAGTGTTGTGGATGAATGTTTGACATGTCTGAAAGAGGAATGGATGAAGTAAGTGAATACTTTTCCACAAAATGTTATACTTGAACGTTTTAAAAGCTGTTTTATATATTTTAAATTATGGGAGAGATTGTGTTCAGCTTTGTGTTTGGTTTGATTTATTTAACTCGGGTTGATTGTTTCTGTCAGACTCATTTGAACCTCCCTTACTCAAACAGTTATTTATATAAGGGTGGTAAGCAAAGAGGGAAGATGAGTAACAAGACCAATCCAAAGTTATCACTGTATTTTATTCCTAAATTGTTAACAAACAGATGGCAGGCTTTTCTACATTTGCTGTCATTGGCATATACAAAATGATTTGATCCCCGCAGTCATGTCACAGTTCCAGCATGCTCATTGGTCTTGGGTTAGCTAATCAGAGTTTTATTTTATCATTCATATTATTGATATTAAGAATGACTGTCTAAGTCAAAACCATCTTCACTTAATTAAGTAAGAAACCGTGACTCTACATAGAAGTATGCATTGCAGACATGCGTTTTATGAGCTGCAGACAAATATGAAGGTTAATGAATAGAAACACTAATTAGCAATCGATTTTGAAAATTGTAGCTCTTCTCTGCTGAGATTTTAAGTTTTTAACAAAGCAATTTAATTAGCTTATCTGAAATGTGTAACTCAACCATGTTACCAGTGGTAATTGTATTATTTTTGTCACCACCAAAAAGTGGGGACATCCGGGTCTCCATTTTTTATTTATGATGTTGGTTGACATCCAGCAGTTCAATTTTTTTTCGAAATCATCTACAAGTTCTCAAAAGTTCAAACCTGACTTAAGATTGAACTCATAATATTGTGAACAAATAGGTGGTGACATTTTGTCATGTTAATGCCTTGTTTTATTTTGTGCTTTTCAAGTTCTTTAATTTCCTAAAGCTCTTCTTTCTGATCACTGTCTTGTTTCTTAAGAATATTTGGAACAGTTTCACTCCAGAACTTCACACTGTCATCGCTGAATTGAGTTAGAATGACTGAATGTGTCCTCAGGCTTATAGCTTCATGATTGTCAGTGCTGAACTGTGGCCATTCTAACAGATCTCCTCCATTTGGGTTGCTGGAAACAAAAGGCAAATAAAATATAAATTGGGGGGGAGGTATGAATTATTTATTACATGGTGTTGATTTATGTAACTGTTATTAATGTTGTTTGCTGTGAAACATAAACAATATCAATTTGGAAAACTTTATCCTATACAGTCAATGATATGTATATTTATGGTATTTATTGCCAGGGATCAGTGGTACAACTATTGCTTCAATTTATTTTTATATAATTTGCTTTAAATTGCAGCATACATTTGTATTGTAGAAAATAGTTCTTCCAAATCAATTTGATTTCACATACAAAATCGATTTGGATTCACATACCCAGTTTTTCCAAAGTTTGTCCAGTACTTCAGCATTTGGTTCTCTAGAATAAGATCATCATCATCCCAAACAATGCCTTCTTCAGGGCCTAATGGGGACTTTGGAAAACCAAACATGTACATTATGTCATCTCCATGATCTGCCTTGATATATTCTGGGCGTCCATGATTTCTCATTTGGAGAGGGGAATGGCTGAGTTCATATACAAAAACATTGGCTCCTATTTCTGGAAAACAATTTTAGAACTAACTTAATGTTCATATTGACAACATATTCAGGGCTCTGAGAATTCACATATGCATTTTAAATTATTGATTTGCTACCAGGCTTTAAAGAATAAATACATGTGATTTAAACCTGCAATAAGTTTACACAGTTTCTCTCAATCCACACAAGAAAAATCTATGTTTGAAACAATTGCTCAATATTTAAACTGACATTATATGCTGGCGTAATGGATAAATTGTTTCAGTTTTAAGCAAAAACTTACTTTTGATGTCTTTTACAAACAAAGCATTGAGTCAGGTGCTTTAATACTTAATTGGTGCAAATAACTACCTGGGAAATGGCCAGTTACATGTAACCGTCTCGGCACATGACAATGAAATATTATTTCCATGACCTAATGAACATTCAGTATGTTAGATTATAATGGGAGCCAATAGTGACTATTAATTTGCGTTGATTGACTGTCAATCTGATCTGATCTGATCCAATAAAAATCTAGAAACAGCCCAGCTTTAATTATGAGTAGTATATTGTACCTTTAAACAAGTGGGCAGTTTGTAGAGTTGGTGCGATTAACATGAAGTCTCCGGTCAGTCTTGACATCACCAATGTCAACTCATCTTCTGTAGGATTCTCCTGTGGTAGGTACTTTTCATTCAGTGCTTCAAATGAATTGGTGAATATTTGAATAAAACATTAAATTCTCTCATGATTTAGTAGTACATTAACATTATAGCACGGTATTATATAACAGTGGTTGAAACTATTGCAAAACTATTTACAGACCAGAGCATACATGTAGACATATTAATTATCTAAAAATTATATTTATCAATAGAATGCTTATAAGATATACTTTTTTCCACTCGCTGAGAAGCCTCTTCATCAGAAGGGTCTAGTATACCAAATATTTGTAACATTGCTTTCAGATCTTGAAACATTGTTTCTCTTGTCTTATTCACTGTAAAGTGTGGGGCCAGCACTTTCCCAGCCATCATATATCCTGAAGTCATCAACTTGCATTGTCAGATCATCAAAGAATGTATAATGTCATCAAACTCCATAACTATACATCAAATATTGCATTTGATTTTGTCTTCTGATTACTGTTATGGGACTTTTTTGATTTAAGATTGTTTTCTGATTACTGTCATGAGACTAAAAACATTCATCAAATTACTTGTGGGACTTAAGCATTTATATTTTTGTACCTTCGTTTTCTGTCACACCAGTCATTATGTCAAGGCTTTTAATACGAGCCTTAACATCACTCTCTTTCACCATGTCTTTAGGGGGCTTTGGCATAAATGCATCACCACAGATAGGCAAAAAGGGCCAATATGGCATTCCTTCTGGAGGTTTAGCTTCTGTTAGCTCTTCCCAAGTCTTAGATCTCAGACACATGATAATTTCTCTGTTATCCTCAGTCTCATTACAACCTAAATGAAAGGTAGAGATTAAAAGGTGGATTGGATCGAGTGGATTGGATTCATGTAAAAGGTGGATTGGATCGGGAATCTTCAACATGTGGAATTTCTTAAAATGAATTGATCACAATCAGACTGCAGAGCTAGGGGAGCTTCTATGATTATATTATTACACTTTTTTTAAGTTATATATATTTGCACTAACTGAAATACAGTACCAGATGATGGTTTTGGTCTAAATTTTAAAGGCATATGGCTTTTGTGGTAGAAGAAATTTCCAATATGGATGCTTGGTTCAAAATGGCTGTCATTTTTCAAAAATGTAACCTTTTGCACTGTAACTTACATGACATTTACTTTGGTCATTGTATAGGAAAAGTAGTATGTAAAACACTAGTTACTTTGTAGTTCAAGGGAGATACAGAGAAGCCATCTGTCCTTCTATCCGTCTGTTTGTCTGTCTGTGCAGGCGATTACTCAAATACCAGTCAACAGATTTGATTCAAATTTTATAGCCTCATACCTTATGGGTGTAGGACCTCTGCTCGATAAGGAATTCCATTATGGCTGCTCAATTCAAAATGGTAGAATGGCAGCTGAATTTCAAAATGTTTGCCATTTTTCATAGAGATAATTCAAATAAGTTGCCTGCTGTTTATCAAAATGCCACCATTTATCAGTAAAATCTAATATGAGTTGACAGATACCAGTTGACAGATTTGCGTTAAACATGCAATATTCTAAATGGCATATGCTAAGGTCACAGTCACACACTAGTTTATATCTCCTGTGTTCACCAACACTGAGGCATTCAATAACAATAATTGAAACTTACCGACTGCTTTTGAAAGTTCTCTAATCATACTTCCTGAACTACCAGCTGGTATTAAGAAGCTGTTAGTGATAGCTGACCCACTCTGAGCTATTGCCCGAGAGAACAAACCTTCTCCCAGTGGTGAAAGGGATAGTGCCACAACAGACACCCCTCCTGAAATTTAATTTGTTAATTGGCTTTATTTGATCATTTAATTTCAGGTGTAGTATTTACATATATTGTCTTAAGTTTTATATCAAAGGAACATAATAAGGAGGGGTTAGAAAATTAGTTTGTACACATAAGATGGAAAATCTCTTCTTTACTTCCACATCCACAAGGATTCTTGCCCAATTTATTATTCCACCGAATGAAGTATGAAGGTATGTAGAGAAACCATTTGTTAGTTTGTGCATTCATTTGTTTGTTCATTTGTGTGTATAAGCAATAACTCAAATATGGGTTGACAGATTTGGTTCGCTATGCCTAATGCCAAATGGGTGTAGGGCCTCTGCTTGAGAAGGAATTGTAAATATGACTACTCAATTCAAATTGACCACCATTTATATCTTAGTTGTATTAGTGAGTTCATTGATTTCCATTACCTGCACTTTCTCCAAATATTGTTATTTCACCGGGATCTCCACCAAAAGATGCTATATTTTCTTTTACCCATTTGAGAGCTTGAATTTGGTCCAGGAATCCAAGATTACCTGGGGCATCTTCATCTCCAGTGTTCAACCAAGCTAAAACCAAAATTCATGGGATTGTTAGCTGTCTCAAATGTAAATGAGGTAAAACAAAATGGGAACAACAGTTAATATGACAAAGGTTGTGTCACTCACTCTTGACCACAGGAACTAGAACAGAGTAGTCATAAAGAAAGAAATAAACCCCTGTTATATCTGTCATAATTTTTTTCTTTGGCATCCTGAGAGTTGTGTGAGGAGAATTCAATTCTTATTTACTACTCATCTCTGGTCCAGTGTTAATGCCTCTTTTATATAGTGTTAGAGCATGATTTATTTTATCAGGATTCTTTTACCTAGAGTGGCTAGACGATAGTTGATAGGTACGATCACCACATCTCCAGTTGCTGCTAACACTGTTCCATCATATACCCTGTTAGAACCTGTAGCATAACAAGTAGCATTATTCAATAGATGGGATGCAAATAGAATAATCTTGAGTTACATTAAATATTCAAATTTTAGTCAAAGTGATTTGATGTTTGAAATCTACTAACGAAATAATTCCATCTAGAAACATGGTTTTAAAAATTAATTTTTATCACCTTTGAAAATTCACTTTTCTTTAAAAAGTGATTTTTAGGTCAGGTTAATTCACAAAAGTGAAAGAAAGTCTTAGATAAAATTTTCTTTCACTCATATTTCTATTGTATACTTTTAAAGAGAAAAAAAAATTGTAGGAAAATTAATCTACGAAATCTGAGGAATGAAGTTTGGGATCCCCTTTAATAAAAAATTTCTCATTCAGCAACACATTCAGAAAGGAGGAAGATCATCATTTGCTTTTATGTTCTATCTCTTTGTCTTATTGCACCTTGGAAGCCAATATTAAACAGATATTAATGGTATTATTTTTCTATTTACCGAAATACAGTAAAACTTGTGTATAGTGAACATTTTTTTGCCAAGAAAAAACGTTCACTGTAGGTAGGTGTTCACTAGAGAGAGGGTAATTTATGCAGAAGTCAGTGGACTATGTGCGTAGGAAGGGTGTCCACTAGAGACAGGTGTTCACTAGAGAGAGGTGTTCACTAAGACAGGTTTTACTGTATAACATTACCAGGGCTCTCGCTAGGCTTTTAGACTTTGGTGCAGCACCACAGTCTATTTAGCTCCCACCACAACCTATTGGCAAATGTTGATTGTTCGAAAGTCCAAACTTGATTGAATACACAATAATAGCATTTAAAAAGGATAAGATATGACATAAATATAATTTATCCCGATTGAAAGGTTATGATGAAGATGTTTTCACCACACCATAAATATTTTCTGGTGAGAGCCGTGCTTACCCATTATGAATCCTCCTCCGTGTATCCATACCATGACTGGAAGCTTTGCCTTCTCATTTAGTGTAGGAGTAAATACATCTAGACGGAGACAGTCTTCACTCATAGGTCTGTTCTTCTCTATTGGCCAACCAGCTTCTTCCAATGTGTCTGACATTGCAGGGTCTTGAGGACATTCTTTAGCTAAAACATTCAATCAGGTTTGAAAAGCAGTTTTGTCTCCAGGTATGAGGAAGATTATAAACACTTCCTCCACTCTAAATTTGCCTTTGGTGTTGATTTAGCAGATTCTGAAATTTCCACCTAAATTGACATAATTTCTGAAATTATTGTGAATTTATTAATAATTTACAGTGGTTTTGGTAGCTCTTTTTGTGGGAGAGTTATCAAAAATGTTTCAGTTTGCTTTTCTGAATTTAGGATTGACTCATAAATCACAGTTTCATTTCTTCATCTAAAGCTGCACAAAATTCCTGATTAAGAAATGAAGATCACATAAATCATAGAAATCTTGCATATTTATATTGATTTTTGTTTAATTTGTAAACTTTGTCATCTCCTCTCTCATCGTTATGCTTTATGTTTACCCTTTTCTGTTGCATCTAAAGCTGCACAGAATTCCTGATAAAGAAATGAAGATCACATAAATCATAGGGAAATCTTGTATATTTATATTGATTTTTGTTTAATTTGTAAACTTTGTCATCTCCTCTCTCATCGTTATGCTTTATGTTTACCCTTTTCTGTTGCATCTAAAGCTGCACAGAATTCCTGATAAAGAAATGAAGATCACATAAATCATAAGGGAAAGTCTTGCATATTTATATTTTTGTTTAATTTGTGAACTTTGTTTTCTAAGGTTTTCATTGTTATGCTTTATGTTTACCCTTTTCTGTTGCGTCCCTGACCCCACTCCATGGTTTGTTCTTCTGTGGGGGCTTAAACCGGAGGTCACCTAGAGGTGGCGCTGCATAGGGTATATTACGGAATGTAAAGATTGGCTTTCCTTGTTGACCTGTGGAATATTGTAGGAACCCTCTCAGACCTCCATCTTTGATTGTGTGAAACACCGTTGGCCCACTGACAGCTTCAGCAACCACTCCTGTGTATATTCAAACATTATGTTCAAACTATTAATATTTTTAACATGCTATAAGTGAGTTGCAATCAAAATCTATTGCTGACTGACATTCTCAATATGCTACATGTACTTGTAACAATTTAAAACATATCAATCTTAATCCCCATATCACTCTAATGCACATACAGTATATTTATAATGTTTTACATTTGAATTAATCAAAATTTTACAAGTTTGAAAGTAATTTATTTCATACAAACCTTTAAAAATATGCGAACTAACCTGTTAACAATATTGCATACAAGATCCTGGAATACATTCCTCTGTGAATTTTAGCACTGTTGCACCTCAAAAAGCAATGTTTCTTCCTACTGTGCTTTATAAGCAAACTACAGTAAAACCTGTCTAATCCGAACACCCATGGGACCAGCCAAAAGCGTTCAAATTGGCAAGTGTTCAAATTTCAAGGATTTTGTTGGTCGGGGGGGGGGGGGGGATTTTCATTGTTCAGTACACTATATTGAACACTTAATACTAAGTCAGAAAACAATACACTTTGTTGATGTGTTCATTCTACAATATGCCTATATAGCCTATATGTTATGTTTTATTCACATTCTGAACAATTTCATTATTTTAGTAAAAATAACTCTTATATTTTGGCAAAAACTTTGTAATACACTGTAGAAGTATATGATAGTCTCGTACGAAATCTTATGCTAATCAAGTGACTTATCTTATATTAAGTTTGAGGTTTTCTCTTTCTCGCGATACATTCTTGTCTGCAAATGTGTCTGTGTTGTCTTTGTGATTATAAAACATTTACTGATTGGATCTTAGCTATCATAACAGACCCATGGGATATAAAACAGTTAGGACATGTTCATAATCCAAATCAAAAACATTCAGTTCATTTACAATAAGGATAAACCAATTATCTCCCAGATTCTCACCTTTCTCTTAATCCAAATCAAAAACATCCAGGTAATTTCTAATAATGATAAATCATTCTTGATTCACACCTTTCTCTTAATCCGAACATAAAACATTCAGTTCTTTTCTTATGGGATAAACCAATTAACTCCTGTATTCACACCTTTCCAAAACATCCTGTTGTTTTCCACAAATTAGGGATGTCTCTGAGACTAAATAAGTTAATTAGGACAATATTGGTGCTTTGATTACATTGTATATGTAAAGATAAATAACAACTATAACATTGACTCAGTATGTAGCTATTGTTGAAATGTCCAGACATTTGATTTCTGATAAAAATGTTCAGATTAGACAGGTCAGTTTTTCAAACCTGGTTGTTCACTGTTCAGATTAGGAGGTGTTCAGATTTCAAGGTTTTTTTAACATGGGAGTCAATGGAAGGAAAAAATGGGACCGAAAAAAAGTGTTCAAATTGGAAGGTGTTCGGATTAGCCAGGTGTTCAGATATACAGGTTCTACTGTACTTCACTGTTAAGGATATGTGTATGTTTAGATTGGAACATTTAAACCTTGAACCCATAAACAGAATTCTGCAAATATAAAGTGTTGATTGAAGTAGTGCATTTAGCTGTAATAGGACTTAAAGTGCATATCTTACAGTAATCTTTTGAAGTTACGGGACTGATTATATGTGTTTATCCTACACTTAGTGTACTAAATGTATAATAACATTAAAAAATAAATTTGACATTTATGGGCAAAATGAATATCCGGAGGATATCGTCACGATATACTCCGGGCGGAGGATATCGTGACGATATACTCCGGGCGGAGGATATCGTGACGATATACTCCGGAAAACCCAATATGCGGAGGATATTGTGACGATATACTCCGCTTGTTAATTTCCCGCCAAATTGACTCTATTTGGCATGAAATTCATTTTGCAATGATATTATACATTTAGTACACTCCTTGTAAGTGTAGGATAATAAGAACATCCTATGATTTTTTTCAGAATATCATTTTAATCTACTCGGTGATATTGATATATGCACTCGTTCGCTTCGCTCTCTCGTGCAGATATCAATATCACCTCGTAGATAAAAATGATATTCCTCAAAATCATAGGATATCCTATAATTATCAGTGTTTTTACAAATCTGTTTCAAAGGAACCTACAGATGGCTGAGATTGAAAAGAAAATGGTAATTTGTTAGTACCATGCAATTGATACTGAATATTGAATAGATTTTTTATAAAGTTTGTTTTGATTTTACCTGGGATTGTGCCACAGTTGCCTCGTGAAGCAAATATATTTGAAATGTGTAAGTGTTATAAATATAGCTGAGCAAATGATCCTTCCTTAATTAAAAAAATAAACAAGGTGATTTCTCCAAGGTTATAATATTTGAAGGAATTCCTAGCATTAGCAATGACTAAATAGTGCAGTCTGATTACTTTTTGAGACAAGACCAATATGACCTTGACAAATTCCCTACCTATTTTTTTTATTTAACAATGAACAAAAATATGCATGCCATATTTCAGCAGATATTGGGCAAATAACTAAACATATTTTTTTAATTTATTCTAAAATTGGAAATGTGATCCGTCATGTCTGTAGCATAAATGATTCACTTTATTTCCAATTTGATACACAGCCTTATGGGATGTATAAGTTATTTGTTGCTTTCATTATTTTAGTGCATTTGTGTTCAGTATTTTGGGGCAATTGTTTAATGGCAGTAAATTCAAAATGGCTACACCAGCTTCAAGATTTCCCTGCTGCTTAGTAACCGTGTTAATTGCTCATCAAAACAACACTAATCAAAATAAAGATAGCTGAAAAGAATGCTTTTTTTAATCTGCATGGCCTCTTCATTAAAACATGTTTTGTTCGGTGGGATTTGCTACTCTGGGGAGTTGCTGTTTTCTAGCCAGACAAAGTATTATGAGTACTCAAATTTCTTTTGATGATGATGTTTTTCTACAGTTTCAACTTCAAAATTAATATTCTCAAATAGTGTGTGCCATTAAGTAATTAGTTAATGGAAGGGGATACATTTACAAATTATTTCCTGTTATAAAGTTATCCTGGGCTGCAGGCCGTCATGATTTTGAAACTTAAGATGTATAAGTGAATATATGTAACCGGTAAAACCTGTCTAATCTGAATGCCCTCGGGACTGGGCAAAAGCGTTGGCAGGTGTTCATATTTCGAGGTTTTTGTTGGTGGGGGGTTCAATGTACATTCCACTACTGTACACCTAATGCTAAGTCAGAAAACAAAACATGCACTATGTCTTGATAAAAGAGACATTGATTTTTTTGAATAAATGGTAAATAGCTTTGCTGAATTGAAAGTTGTTATAGTTGTTATAGGATATCAGGATTCATACTACATTAGGAATATGTACAATGTTATTTAAAGGCCCCTTATAAAGTTTTAACCAATTAATAGTTTATATTATAGAATTACTTTATCTTTTACTTCTCTGATTAGAGGAAGAGGAAAAGGAAATCAGTGAATATTTGAAAACTTTAAAAAGTCACATTCTTCAAAACATGTCCCAAATAATTTTTATCAAGTCATGAAACGTAATATTCAAATGATTAAACAGTATACTTGCACAGGGCCTATAAATTGCTTCAGTAGTGTATCAACACACTAAGCAAACTCAGCTTGCAGAAAACCTTGGTATGGATGATATGAGGTTTTATGCCTACTGACATTGCTATAAGATGAACTTCACAACTACATAGTTTTTTTTGTTTCCTTATTATTTGGTGTCAACTCTTGATCCCTTAATTTGGACTATGAATATATACGAAAACCATACATTGTTTTCGTTTTGTTTAGTTTTTAGTTAAGGGTCTTTACATTTATATAAACACAAAATTATGATAAATTTCTTGAGATTCCAAAGAGAAAATCAAATTGTTTGCATCATTCAAGAAAATTTATCTATGATTCCTTCCAACTCATTGCCTTTGAAACCAATCCAAATGAGTATAAATGTCTTAATATTTATGCTGGAGTCCATTGATAGCAACCACCATGTGACATCTCATTGAATGATCTCTTAACACTTGTATGATCACAGTTTTGACACCCAAGGCCATCCTTTTCTCTCTGTTGACAGCAGACCCATCTCCCTGCCATGATTGTGCCTCCCATATAGTAAGCACTGTGTTTCTTACAACCCTGTGGTTCTGAGTCAGTGAACTTCATTCCACATCTAGTACATGTCTTTCCCCCAGAGCTTGCTGTTCCTGTATTCATCTCACTAAGAGCCATCTTTGCTCGTTGGAGGAGATCTTTTTTCATTTGGACCTCTTCTGTTGTCCCCTCATCCTGTTGGTACTTGAGGTAGGCCTTGATGAGACGTCTAATCGTCTCTGTCACACGGTTGATTCGAGGGATCCCATCATCTTTTATACCAAATTGTGATGTTGATGAGAGTTCATACACTGGTGATCTTGATACCACCTCTTCTAGCCATGGAGGAAGAGTAAGACCTGGCTCAACGATACAGAAAACAATTGGCTTCCTACAGGCAATTGCATACTTTATCTCAATGTTGCAATTAGCAGACTTAAGGTACTTACTAGTCAAGAATGACATAATACATGTTGAAGATTCAACAGCGTTGGACATAGAATCATATATATTACCGAGCATACCTCCCCAGATATCAAGCCATGTCTTCATTCCTCTCATGCTAAAGTCCATATAGAGATCACGCACAAAGGTCTGGATGTCCCATTGATAAGACAGCATAACATCAAATCTCTGCTTTATAGGTACACCCCTTGGATCAAAAAGTGGTTCTGGTGGGTTAAAAGTCATACGTGTTATTTCATGATGTATGTATGCCATACCTAGCTCACTTTTATCTCCATCCATATACTTTCTAAGATTCTCAACAGGTGGTTCTTCATTCCTCTCAATTTTATAGTCCTTTGGTGGCCATTGTCCATTCTGTTCAAGCTTGGCCTTAATTGGTGCTATTTCCGCATCAATAGCTTTATGCTGGGCTGCCTCTCGCTGCTCCTCTGTTGCCTGTGGGTTCAACAATGCAGCAACAGCAGAGACAAAATCATTCATAGGTGTGCTGTCATACTGTTTCTTATAAGCAGTTGCAGAATCATAAAGCCTGTGGTAAAGTTTCCCAGCAATGCCCAACTCTAGCCAACCACCAGGACGGTACCCTTTCTTGTAGTTGATTGGCACAATTTCCTTCTTCAAAGCCCTGGCGCATTCATATTCTTCCTGACGAATTGCTGAATTTTCATATTCTGGTGACATGACTGCAATGAAGACTTGACAGTTGCAAACCTTTTCTATATTGGAATTATTTGGTTGGAGGACATTTGGAGAGAACTTATGAAGATCTGATCCAGTTATGAGACTAACACAGTCACTAGAATCTGGCATATAAGCAATTACTACTCCCTGTGCTGCTCCCTGTTTGAAGCCAGTAGGTGCTGATTCAGCGATGTCTACTGTTATGTCCTTTCCACTTGATTCTGATGCATTGATAGCCTCTACAAGCAGATCACTGTCTGTGTCATCAAACTTGGCAGTGCTCTTAAATGGTATAGTAAGTTTACCAACTGACATTATAGCTGCAAGGGGCCCTGTTGGCTTATAGTTTGGTTGCACTAAGATGGCAAATACATCTTTCCACTTCCCCTGAGCAAAGTTGATCAGTTCATGCAGAGGTTGTGCACGTTGGTATTTCACAGATGCTAGGACGACAATACCCAGGGAACATTGTACAGCTTGCTCTCGCATACGTAGACTGCTTGGCTCAGCTTCAGTCATTTTAAACACTTTGATTCCTCTTGTTGTAAGCTTGTCATTGATGATAGCAGCTAAAGTTGAATAACTGCTGTGGTAGCTCAAAACTATACTTCTTACATTTGTAGATTTGGAACTAGGTGCTTTTGATGGAGGATTACCAGCATTGACTTTCTCAGCTTCATTGGCAGTTTCATTGTGCTGTATTGGAGCTGTTCTTACATTTGTAGATTTTGAACTAGGTGCTCTTGATGGAGGATCACCAGCATTGTCTTTCTCAGCTTCATTGGCGGTTTCATTGTGCCTTATTGGAGCAGTTTTGACATGTTGTGTTGGCTCTTGTTGCTTCTGCACTTTCTGTGAGCTGCTTTTCTTTGAAGAGCCAGACCCCATTTTATCTGGAAACAAAAATAAATCATCAAAAATCAATCATTAATTTTTGTAAAGATTAAAGCATTTAAGAGAATCAGAGTCCTATTGTGTGTGTGTATGTTGCCTTGTGTGACATATGTATTGTTAACTCCATGTATTCTAAAATATCTGAATAGTGGAGAAGTATCATACAGGTACTTACGAGTGATATACTTTTATACAGTAAAATGTTACTATATTTACTGAACAGAATTTTGTTTCTCATTCAATTTTTATGTCACCACTTATGGTCTCTGTTTTATTGTGACGGCGGTTGGTGATCAGCGGAGGATGGGTGGCGGTTGGTGTCTGTAACAAATTCTTAAAACTTCCAATAACAAATACTGTTTAGACTGACTTCAGTTTTTTTTCAAAATCATTTACAAGTTTTCAAAAGTTCAATTCTTACTTCATATTTAAGATTTGACCTTCAGTGACTTTTTCAAGGTCAAAAAGTCAAAATGGTATTTTTTCTACTTGCTTCAAATTGACCAAATTTTGTTTTCAAAATTATCTACAAGTTATCAGAAGTTCAAATCTGACTTTAGATTTGAGATTTTACCTTCATTGACCTTCTCAAGCTCATGTTTTCAAAAGTTCAAACCCGACTATAGATTTGACCTTTAATGATATTCTCAAGGTCAAAAAAATAATTTGACTTTCAATGAACTTCTCAAGGTCAAAAAAGCCTTTTTCAACTTACTGCAAATTGACCATTTTTTCAAAATCATCTACAATTGTTCTCAGAAGTTCCTCCAATGACCTTCTCAGAGTCAAAAAAGGTATTTTTTCAACTTGCTTCACCATTTTTTCAAAATCATCCACACGTTCTCAAAAATTTAAATCTGAACTAGATTGAACTAATAATATTGTGAGCAACTAGATGATATTTTGTCATGTTAATGCCTTGTGTTTATCATATAGCACAAATACATTTATTTAGAAAATGCTATTTGCATCATTCAGATAGCATATGCATGGCTATTCTAATTGTAGAAGGAATACATTAACATTAATCAATAACATTATGACCTCTGATTATGTTGAGTTATTAAAAAACATAAGATATCAAATTACCTTTTCATACAGGTTGAGTAATATCACCAAAATGATTCTGATGATTTTCCAGGTTAAATCCTACAGTGAATCTTTCTCCAATAAATAGTGTTGTTAAATCTAGCAGACATGTGTGTTTGTAAGCTCAACATTGGCAGAAAGAAAATCTATAAGTAAGTCATTGTTAGGCTCATTGTCAGGTATTATGACAACCAAAAGGGTTCCCTGCTATACATTGTTTGCACACCATTTACTATAATCAGATCAATAAACAGTGGTATATTTAACATTCAACTCCCATAGGCAGATAGGCACATTATTTATATCCAAGCAGAATTATGAATTGGGGTAATTTCTCACTTATAAGTGTAAATTCCCCTGAAAATATTTTAACAAGAAGCATTTTAATATTACATAATTTGTTTCATGGTGAATCTATCATTGACAACATGGTGTCAGTTAGTTATATTTAAAGGTCATCATGCTAATAAGCTATTAAAGCAACAGGGTCTAGGATAAGCCTATTGATATTCTGAATGATAACCCTTTGATAAAAAACATTGCACTGTTAGTTGGGTCAAAAGTTGGCCTGTATCCAGCAGTTTCAGCAGGGGGGGGGGTTACCAAGGGGAGGGGGTTGCAAAGTTTTTGCCAAGGGGTGGGGGAGCTTTTTCACAGTTTTTGGCAAAAAATCGTGCTCAGAATGGTGAAAAACTGCATGATTTTGAAAGAATTTCTGGCCATTTCTCCCCCCCTGGCTACAGGCCTGGGATATGATGGATACACACTAAATGCTTTTTGCAATCCAATAAAACCATTGGCTAGGGATTTTGAATACAAGTAGAGGCAGAGAAATTTGATTTTTAGGGTTATTAAACTAAATATTCTCTTGAATACGAGTAATAATTGTTAAAGACACAAAGTAATGTTACATTATCCTACATAAGATCATAAATATTGTATTTTTATGATTAAATGCTTAAATTGGTGGGAATTATGATATATCTCTCATATATATCTGTCTTCAATTATCTGCAAATAAGAGTAGAGAAGATGGTGGATATTATCTTGTGACAGATTCATGAATACTATGTTTGTTGGGATTTGTTTCTTCTTGCAGTTTTCTAGTAGTATCATATTATTTGAGTTATTTATTGTCATAATTATATCGTGTGTCCCAAAAAATGAGCCACGTTTTGACAAGTTTTATCTCAGCAACTGATACACCAAAGGTTCATGTGCAGTAGTAAAATATGATAGTAAAATATCAATTCCACTCTCTGAAAAATTATGGATTAGGACCCCATCTTGTCACTTTTTAAAAAATGTAAGGCTTATTTTCTAAAAAGAGGATCTTGTTTTTCTCAATTTAAATGTCTCAAAAGTTTCTTCTACATTATATTACAAATGTATTAATAACTTCTGAAAAGGGGATGGGTATTGAATGCTTTAAAGTTAAAATTTCCCATGTTATTTTCCTATAGGGAAAACTCATGCTATCCATTGTTTTCAGCATGATTTTGGTCATCGAAAATTGATATCTTCAAAACTAGACTTTCAATACGATTCTACTTTTGAAGATGTTTTAGACCCCTTGTTGAATAATGTTTTCGTGCATTAAAAATCAGAAAAAGAAAATCCTCTTTTGAGCAAATAAGTTCAACATTTTGAAAAAATTGTTGATATTTTATCATCATGGGGATTTCACTTGAAAGAAAACATATTGATTTAATAAAAACCACTGTATTTATGCCCAGAAAGTACTCATGGTGAAAGATATGACTGTCTAAAATAACTTGCCATCCTGCACATGGGGCTTTACTGAACATTTGTACGAAGCAGCCCAAGAGTATCATTAGCAAGTTATAAGAATATAAAAAAGATCAAGTAAATATTCATTGAGTACTAAGAAATTCAAAATAGCATGTCAAAAATTCTTATACTCTGATATGAGACCTCTATAGTGTTTGTACCAAGAATAGATAGCTTGGACATATATTAATAAGTGACTTTTACATTGATATTGGTTATTTTGACATACTGTCTTTAATTCTAAAATTCACACATAATATGAGACCAATCTCTTACATATTTATGGCACAAGCAGAAGATACCCTAAAGTGCTTCAGATAAAGTTTTTTTTATCTATTGCTGAGAAATTACTTCTCATTTCTTTAGGTACAAACGCTACGAAGTTCTCACTGCGTTGCTCCAGTACGGGATATTATGACATGCTATCTTGAATTTCTTAGTTCTCACATAACATTTACTTGATCTTTTGCGTATTTTTGTACCTTGCCTTGTCAAAAAGTGGCTCATTTTTGGGACACCCAATATATCCATTGCAATATAATTTCTAACTATGGTATTATTATTATAAGTTACATAAAAATATTAATATTTCAACATTAATTTGCACAATGCCTGCTTAGATCTTCAGGCAGTTCATTTTAGACATTTAAATCAATTTACTAATTGCATATGTTAATGCAATGAATACTTATCTTAAAACTACTCAATAAACTAAATGTTTTCATGTGTCCTCTAGCAACCATCTTTTAATCTGAGTTTACCCTTGTACTATTTTGTGTACATAAAAGCTTTCATATGATTAGATCACTGTATAAACATCAAAATCACATTCCCTATATCATAGACTTGTGACATGCTGTGGACATTCTGATCTGATTTACTATATTCCTTTATCTATATGTCATGCATAGGCATAGCCAGGGGGGTGCGATGTGTGCGATCACCCCCCCCCCTGACTGAACGCTGACTTCGCCCCTGTCATGATAGACTGATTTATCATATGATACACCAAATTCATGTATTCCTGTAGTGAATCTCCACTCTCATTTGGCTATATGTTATGTTGACAAGATAAGAAAACTGTCTATATTTTATGCTCTCATGGTAAGATTTTCTTGTAGTAAAACCAAGTACTAATTTTTAGCCAACCTTAAGGTAGTCACACACTTTCACAAAAGTTGAGAAATGTTGGGTCAGATGCTTGTACATGTTCATTTTAAACTATATATTATACATTACATGTAAATATTGATAATAAAATGTGAAAAATCTTCTCATCACATGGACCTACTTGATCAACAACCCTATTATCTTTTTATTAAATTCTGTACAGTGAAATGTTAGGCATTACATGTATATTCACAACATAATTTGATAATACTGAAAGAAAGAAATGCTAATATATATTTAAATGCTGTTATTTCAACCATTGACATTTCAACAATCACAGGAAATTGCATTTATCTGGCTTATATTTCCAGACAAATTTGGGGACAAATTCTAATAACATAGAATTAAGTTTTTACACAATAATATCTATTTGTAGAAGCCTATCTAATAAGTAGGTCTAATAGTTAATAACTGTATCCATAAGATCTGTTGTAATCAGCATTAGAATATCAGATGAGAAAATAATATTAGGGTGATTGGAAAGATAATATTTAAGTATACTTTCAAATGAATTAGTACAGTATGGAAGGTGTTAGTTGTGTATTTATTTGAGAATACTGTTTTCTGTATGTTACATTTTTTATGAGTCTCACAACCTCTATTATATAAAAGGCCTGCAATAGAACTATGTTCATCAAATCCAGCATCAATCAGTGTGTTTAATCAGTCATACAGTACCTGCGTCCACTTTATGGCAGTGATAGAGTCCCAGGGATAAAGTCTATGTTAGGTAGTTTTTACCAGCAATAGGTGTCTCCACAACGGACATATAAATTTCATGATATCACAATTTTGAAAAATATCTGTTGCAGTGCGGTACATAATTAGCAAACTATTAGACAAAGAAACATACAGTATATGAAATTGAAAATTGAATAATAAAAAATGAAGTCATTATTTTCCTGTAAGCAAAATTAAAAAATCCAGTCATTCAGTTTTAGATACGGCCTCTTAATACCCTATGCTTCTATTCCCTAATAGGGGGGTCGAAATGTTTTCTATCTTCAAGTAAAAAACGAAGTTTAAACTTATAGGCTAACTTAAGTTTGCTTTATTTTCAGTAAAGTGAAGGTGATGTTCAAGTTTACAAAAGCTGGAGGAAACAGAACTCAAAGTGAAACACAGAAAATGCTGAATGTCCTAAAGGCGAATGATGAAGATCAAGCTGTCTTGAGATATTGGATGACTGGACTTAGTGTACAATATAGAACTCATATGTTAGCAGCTTCAATGAACCAAGTCAGCCAATCCACATTAACTTGATCTGATTGTGGAAAATATATGGAGACTGACAGGCACAACAGGACACATGGGCAAAAAAATCTCAAACTTTTCTCATGATTTTGAAAGATATTTTGAATTTTCCAACCCTCTGATTATTCCTATCACTTCGTTCAATAGGAGCCAGGACGCATATAGATGGCAGTTCACTCATTTTCTCTCATTGGTTATTCTGCACATCTGTCCCATTGGTTTATGTGTAGATATTGCTGTCTTTAAAAACTTTGACTACACTACATACAATGTATATCAAACTCATGTTACATTTACTCTTCAAAATTATGTTTTACTTAATATATCATGTTTCAATTTCATAAGGTTTTGGATATTGCCATTGACATTTAGGCTATATATATTATTAGATATGAAGCAATTTCTACATGTTAAATTATACAATTAAACCCCATGAATTATTTGCAGTCTATTGACAGTTCTTACACCATTGATATGTTATGATAACAACAGAAACAATGTATTTTTAATTACGATGTTATATTTTTAATCCAATTTATTTAGTTACACTTTGTACACTTTTTACACCCCTACTTGTGCATGAATGTCCTGATCACTGCCTAACAATGTGCAATAAAGGACTCACATTATGTGAATATGTTTGCAGTATCAGTGCCAATTAATAATTAGGCCCAATGACAGGAAGACGTTGGGATCCAATATGGAATTCCTTATGACTTGAGATGGAATGTGAAGATAACACATTGCATTGCTAAAAGTGTACAACTTGTAGTTTTGGAAAGGTGATCATAAAGATGTCATAAGAAAGTGCTTCTAAACTTTCTCTATCAATACCTAAGAGAGTGGGCTACAATGCCAACCCCCCAAAAATGTTAAGTAAATTGAAAAGTATACTCAGAACATGTAAAAATGTACTAGAAGACCACGAAAGGTGGGAAATGCCTGAAATGATTATAAAATCATTTCAAATTTTATAGGATTATTTTAATCATCAGCTTTGAACTGTATAGTTGCTTACAACCGTTATTTCAATATGATTGTCAGGAGTATTTTGTATGGAGGATTTTTTAGCAAAATATAATTAATACCTGTTTAACACTTTAGGATTTTATGGTGTGAAATCTTTCATTGAATGAATGAATTGAACAACCAGAAAGCTAATTATACATGCTATTATATTTTATCTTAAAATGTGACAAAATCACAAATACCTTTTTTTGTACTAAATATGGCAATTAATACTAGAAAGTACAGCCTACTTGTATTTGTATTTTGAACTAATAATTTGCAATAAAATAAACTGAATTAAAAATGCAGCTTGTTATGATAATAAATTATTATGTGTATTTTATCCATCAGTTTCTGATGAGTACATAGTTACATATTTATATATTTGTACACTTATACAAGTATAATTTCAAAATTAAGCATAGAAATACAAGGTGGTCCAAAAAAGCGAACCCCTGCAACAGGCTATCTTCCTTAATACATGCATAAATTGGTTCACAGAAATTGTTGTAGAAGCACATTGGATGATCTTTACAAAGCTTACAGTGAGAGATACAACATACCATATGACAAATGTGGAGTAAGACGTTTCTGGTGATGCATTTAATAGTAGATAACGTCTTAGGAAACTTTTTCTCTTGCAATAGAGATCAAAGATACATTACCTAAGATCTCTCCTACATCAAACATAAATCTCAGTTTTTATTCATCGTTCATTGTATTACATCTGTATTCCTCTACAATATCATTAAAGGAGAATCATAAAATGAGTGACAAAATTGCAAGGAACATGAACAGTTGACCGGCCAATATATTCCTTACAATCTCGAATATAAGACCTCCCAAAATATCCACGATATGTTATAGATTGGTGAAGCTATTAAGGATTCAAAGTGCCAAAATGGGAGAAATAATGTTTAATGTCGAGCAAATAATAATAATGGTCTGCATGTATTTATAAAAAATGAATGCATTTTTATCCCACCGAACGAAGTTCGAGGGGGATATAGAGAAGCCGTCCGTCCGTCCTTCCGTTCGTCCGTGTGTCCAGGCGATAACTCCAATACCGGTTGACGGATTTGGTTCAAATTTTATAGGCTTATGCCTTATGAGTGTAGGACCTCTGCTCGAGAAGGAATTTTCAATATGGCCGCTCAATTCAAATGGCCGCCATTTTTCGTAACTCAAATACAAGTTGACGGATTTGGTTCAAATTTTATATGCTGATGCCTAGGGACAAGGTGTCACTCCTGTAAATCATTGAAAAATATTGAAAAAAATCACAAAATTCAAGTTCTGGGGTACATATCGCCATTTTCGAACGAACTAGCCCATACAATGACTATATTTCTGCGTTCCCCTATACATAACCTTCATCTTGACACTATATTTAACATAGGGTTTGCGTCTCGATTTTTATATATCACTACGCCAACATAGGGACTCATTTTCAGGTAAAATCCCTGCTTCACCGATGAAAATTAACGAATAAAGTAGTTCCAGTTTACGGGACTATATTCTTGCGATTTTTTTCTTAAAATGACACATTTAGAAAGTACTTGGCCTCAGCTTTACATACATACCTCACATGGCCACATTGCATACACGTAAACCTACTATACACACCATTCAATTTGGCTTACATGTAGCTTCGTTTTTAAAGTATTAAAAAACACTGTCCTACCTATTTACCGGAGTGACACCACAAAGGAGTTTCGCACAAAAAGAGATTTTCAAGATGGCCGCTTAATTTCAAAATGGCGGCCATTTTTCGTAAAATATGTAATCTTTGATAACTCAAATACCAGTGAACGGATTTGGTTCAAATTTTATATGAGGATGCTTAGGGACACAGTAGCTATGTTTGACAAAACATTTTCAAGATGGCCGCTTAATTTCAAAATGGCGGCAATTTTTCGTAAAAAACGTAATCTTTGATAACTCAAATACCAGTGAACAGATTTGGTTGAAATTTTATATGATTATGCCTAGGGACACAGTAGCTCTGTTCAAGAAATAATTTTCAAGATGGCGGCTGAATTTGAAGATGGCGGCCCATATTCGTAAAAAACGTAATCTTTGATAACTCATATACCAGTGCACGGATTTGGTTCAAATTTTATATGATGATGCCTAGTTCACAATGGTATAAACTAACTTTGTGCCAAATTTCATGCTTCTATCACAAAGTGCACAACCATTTCAATATTTACATTAGCTATAATAAGCATAATATGTTTTGTTCGGCGGGATTTGCTACTCCGTGGAGTTGCTGTTTTTCTAGTTTTAATCGTTATTTATCCTCAAACACATCCATGTAAAGTATCTGTATTCAAGATCCAAATTATATTTGCATCTTGAAAGTGATATAGTTTTTGTTTCTACAGAGGCGTCTTTGAGAGAGTGGGATAAAATATCTCCATGATTGTTGTGATCACTGAAAATATAAAAACAGTGATACAGGGGCACATTTTCCAGTTTTTTTTATTGTACTACATGTAGTAATACGTTTGTTTATAAAAAATATCCTGTGACATTCTATCAAAATCTATAGACACCTCGTATGTCAGACATCTTACACAGCATGAAGTATGAAAATGAAATAACAAATCGTATATATACGGACTTCAAATTATGATTTATATAACAAATTACATACATCTAAACTATATATCATAGCACCGATTCTAGTACTTGTTGCATAGTGCAGACGATTCTCAAAAAGTAATAAGTCGTGAAATAACTTTGACCATTTTTTACCTTCAATATGTTGCCAACACCATTTGTGTTCTAGTTTGATAACAATATTGGCCTTGAAAACTTTACTTTTAAGACAAGTAGATATTTTGTGATTGAGCTGACTTCGGATTTGGATCCAAAAGATCAGTTTGAAAAATCAACTTATTGACCTTTTGAAGGTCAATGAACCAAAGATCAAATCTCAAATGTAAAGTGATTTGAACTTCTGAGAACTTGTACGAACATGATTTTGATAAAAAAAAAATCGGTCAGTTAGAAGCGAGTTGAAAAACACTTTTTTGTCCATTTATTCAATGGTAACAGATATTGGCAGAAATGTGTTGGAATTCATGTATTAAATTACATACTGGTGTATGACAGTAAACATTTTAAGTCAGTCTGAACAGTGCTTGATTTAAAGTTAATTGGATATTATAGTAAGAATTTGCTAGAGACACCATAAGAATTTGTTACAGACGCCAACCGCCCAACTCTGAACGTCAACCATCAACCGCCGAACACAAAAAAGTTGGAGACCGTCACAATATGTCACCACTTCTGTTGGTGACATAATAGTGACAAAACATTTTAAGAAGGCTTCTCTTACTCTTTTCAGGTCCGTGTTGTGCCAGCAATAGAACCAGCACTTTTATGTCGTGTTCTTCGATGGCTTGTCCCGGGAGTCGCTTGTGAAGAATTTGGAGGGGTCCCACCAAAGCGGCTTGCACATCCATGAGGCAACATCTAAACACGAATATTGTTTGATATATGGGATGTCTGACAATATAATTACACTCTACTAGGCGTATGTTCTCGAAATCGGCCCTAAACTGTGTACAAACGGATTGGACGTTTGGGTCCTATTCAAAAACGTACTCGAATGGGGAGGTTCTCCGAAGAGCATTCTCAAAATTTTCTGGTGGTTGCAACATTCTGCAATAAGAACGAGTTACAGCGTATGGGACAGCGGGGCAAGACGGACACCCTAAGAGCAGTCAGTTTTAACAGCTTGTAAAGATACTTTGCTCGATTTTTGATTTGCTACTATGTCCCTCACTTTTGAAAAACGATTTTGTGTGGTTATGGGGCAAGAAGGGCCCCTGTGAGGCAAAAAGGGCCGTTCTATCAGAATCCTTCAATGAATTGTAGACTTTACCAAAGTCTTACAGAAGTGGGGCAAAAAGGGCCACTTTTTGGGGAAAGTATAGCAAAAATATAGCTATCTCACTAAACTAGTTGACAATTGTCATTTGGCATTTGCGTTCTGCGATCTATGTTATGTATTACGAACTACATGGCCGTGCTCGGACGGGGGATTTAGATTTTGAATCAATTTAAAATTCGATGGCGACCATATCGTTCTGTGATTAGATCGTGTGACAACGGTCTTCGAACCAAGATGACCTACAATACTAAACTAGGCCGGAACTTCAATGTGATTCATACATTGCTCGTTGGGATTTGCTACTCTGTGGAGTTGAAGTTTTTTAACACCATAACATTAGTTAACAACCAAATTTAGTTTTCACCGCGCAGAATTGAAAATACGATTTTTATAATGAAGTCCAATGGGAAAAATGACTTAAGGTGTTTTACCGGCGATTACTAGAGTGCTGCTAACTCGATAAAAGGCTGGCGCTGGCTAGAATTGTCTATGGTTCTAGCCAGGATAAAGATACCAGTTCTTCAACTCGACAATGGGAAGAACTGCTCTACCTTAGTGACTAATATGTCATGATATGACATCTAAAGAGTCAATAAAAGATATATATAATGCTGCTTATCTTTTCATGAAGCCACTCAGTAAGATTACGATTTCTCTTCACCCTGATGTCCAATCAATATCATTCGAGTATCTATGTGTATTCGAGTATCTTTTTTTAAACATTAGGTTTATTTCATTGATATATTTTTCATGGCATAATACACAATCATGCGGCAAATCGCCTTTTGGCATTTTATGTCCGCTTTCAATTACAATGTTACATATACATTACATAGTAGAAGTATGTTTAAATTCTAATTTGCACCACCTGTAATGAAAAATACTTTTTGACTGATTTCTATTTTTTTCAAAATTCTCTAAAAGTTCTCAGAAGTTCAAATCTCACTTAAGATTTGAGACTCAACCTTCAGTGAGCTTCTCAATGTCAAAAAGGTATTTTTCAATTTGCTTCAAAATATCTGATTTTTCTGATTGAATGGAATTTCGTTCTGCCAAAATACAAGCAAAATTATTATTATTTACAAGTATATACAAAGTCATGTTACAAAAATGGGTAATTTTTGTGTAGAATCCAGGTTGTCGTGCCTGTAAAGGAAATGGACGACATTTAGAGCACATCATGGAACACTCATAAAATCTAGATGAGCTAGTCATCTAAAACCTTTTGTTGAGTTGCTCCAGGGAGGCTATTTTAATGCCCATAACAAATCAGATATCACAAAGACAAAAAAGTTATGCAACATTATGTGGGAGTTTTATTGTTTTGTGTCACTCTGTATAACTATTTTTGACTTTACGATGGGTGATCGTGAAATTCCCAGAACGTGTTTCTCTTTTCAATAGCGTTCAATTTTAATGTGATTTCACACAATACATAGACTGACCAAAATAATCCAGTAAAATATTTAGTAATAAAGAGAACTATTTAACAATAAATAGTTGCCATAGTTACCAAAACTCAATGGAGCTGGGCCAAATAAGAAAATTGAAGAATGACGTATGATAACTTTATAAATACTTCTAGTTGATCACATCTTGAATTAAGAAAGACTAAAATACGACACAGGGCCTTCATGGGGCCTTCAAGTATACCTTAACACGCCCCACCTTAACCAACCAATTACATAATATTGAAACAATATATGGATGATGCAATGGTTGCTTCTCTCTAACCGTAGTAGCTGTGGAATATAGAACGTCGATGAAAGTTACTTGCATGTTTATTGCATTTACTGAGTTATAATATTATGTCTAAACCTAATAATAAGGATAGAACCTTGTACGTGAGCGTGTAATATTTCGAATCCCAGGGATTGCAGTCCCACTCTCAATTCACTTTCCTAGTGACTTAATTACAATCATTTTCGCCAGGTAAACACCACAAATGGAAGAACTAATTAATCCATAGAGGACCATAATTCTCACCAATTCTACACGTTCTCGTACAAGTTTTTTTTCATCTATTTACCTGGACTAACGACTTTCTCATTTTGTCGTGTAGAAATACATATATCACGGGGTTGTAACACGTAGACGTCTTCGCAAAGATTGAGGGTAGTGCTGCGCCCGTGAAGCTCACATGTTGACCTTTAAAGATATATGGCAAAAATTATTTTTCTTGAATTTGTAGATGTGTGCTCCTTTAACGCTCCTTCGAATGCATTTATGGATATGTTTTCACAATCTTTTGACTCTAATTCATTGCAATAAAGCTCGGGGAATATCGCCCATAACCGTCAATGTCTCGTGCGTACCTAGTACCACCATGAGGCTCATTACAGAGTAGGGCATCCACGCTAGTAGGTAGCCCGACACAAGTAGAGCCGTCATTCTTACCAATCGCCACTCCCTGGAAGAGAAATTCATATGCAATAGACACTATATCTTTACATTTATTATTTTCAAATCATAGTTCTAATTTTACTTGCGCAATCACTTACTGTTTCATCAAGGACCTTGTTGTGTTCTCGCTGCTTTCAAAGACTACATTGTAGATAGTCTTCCGATACGTATTAAAGATTCTAGCATAGCAGAACAAGAGAATGCCAACTGGAATTAACACAGTGAAGACGAACAGACAGACCACGAATGAATTGGTATTGTTGATGTTCCTTTCCCATGTGACGCTACACCAAGTGCCAGGACCTTCTGGACTGTAACTTGACCACCCGAAGATGGGGAAAATAGACCAGATAATGCAGTATAGCCACGCAAGACAAGACATCAGAGTCGCTCTTTTTATTGTACTCTCTGGAGTTAAAAGTTGTATTAAAGTATAGTAACAATCACGCCCGATGATCGGTAAAGACAACATTGCTGAGAATAAATTGATAACAATTTCAAATTAATGTTATTGTACTTACTAATATCATGACATATGACACAGTAGCGATCCACAGCAATCATCGCGTGTGTCACCAGCGAAACAAGACCAAAACATGTATTTGCAAAGCCGTACCTGAAAAAGGTAATAATAGACGTGAGAGTGTTTACATTGTCAGAATGTATTTAGAATTTGCCTCCTTTCCCCTCGTCTACACCGTCAAAAATAACAAATACGTAAAGCTCTCGTACGATACAAATTTGATTTTTGCCCCCTGTTTCCCTACAAATTAGATTTTATCATTATTCAATAAATACAATTTGTCGAGAATTCAAAACAAATCTGACACGTTTTCTAATGATCTTATTATGTTATATAGTCGTATTTTTCGTTTTTTTGTAAACCGGGTACCGGGTACCAAGTTTGAACCCAGCATGGAGGATTTACTAGATAATATAGTAGAAAACCTGATGGGTTAATATTTATTGATGAAAATGAGTTAATTTCTCGAGCAAAAGTTTAACCCTAAGGTGTTAGTTTATAATAAAATTGCGTTAGAGTGGGTTTCAAACGACATATACGCAATCTTACAACAACACCATGAACACTGTGCACTGATTTTCGGCAACATGATTTCCTAAATACGACAGAAATACGAGCGACTTCTTGATTTAGAATTGTGAACAATTTACAGCATTAAAAAACTCCGAACATTTAACTATTTTATTAAAGTCCCCGTGTAAAGTTTAAACCACTTTGGCTTATATTGTAGTCTTACCCAATGTTATTAAAGTGTGATATGTGAATTTTTTTTTTAAATTTCAAAAAGTGGTTTTTGATAGACTTTTTGTTCCAAAATTTGTGAATTTATTTAAAACTAACTTTTAGAGGTCACATATATCTTTTAAATAGCCACAATTCATACCAATGCATAGCATTCATCCTCACATGTTTTTTGCCCAAAAAAATTGAGAAAATCGGTTCATAAATAAGCGAGAAATGAACTTATCAGTGCAAGAAAATGGTTCTGAGAAAAAGGCATTTCAAAATTTTAGTTCTCATAGAAACCAATGGTACAATGATATCTAAAACATAATATATTTTTCTTTTTAATGTAATAAGACAATCAACATTGATTGATTATTGAAGTCTAGCATATCGAGAAAAGATAGACACCGAAAAAAAAATATCAATTTTTTTCAAAAAGTTTTTGGTACCTTTGTGACATCACTAATGTTTCAAAATATTTTTGATATGCTAAAACATTGAAGTAGCCCATTAAATATGGCATTTTATTATTGAAATAGCGTGTCCTTTGTTCAATCTTTGCATTTGTGTTAAAAGGATAATCTTTTTTGAAATGCATTAAGAAATATTTGATGATTAAAAGATTTCAACTTTTTTTGAAAAATGGCGGGAAATTTGAATATTTGAGAAATGAAATGCTCACAACATTTTTTTGAAAAAAATTTTTTTTTTCAAAAATCTCTAAAATAACTTTTTAAGGATGTTCCCTGGACGAAGTTGAAAACGATGAACACCAACCCCTAATTTTTCTTTTAAAAATGTGAAGTACATAGCATAACTAAGTGTTTCTGTGAGTTTAAGAAAAAGTTAAATATTCAAAAGTGTGTTTTGGGGTGAAAACCTGATTTTTAACATGGGTTTCAATGAGAAAGTGCCACGCCCACTTTTGTCAAATATTGACACTTTAGAGGCCTCTTGCTCAGAAAAAAGCACACTAACATATGGTTTTTAAAGTTTTAATATTCTTTGTTGCCCGTGAGAATCCCAGAAAACCATTTTTGAGAAAAAGTTAAATACTATTGAATATTTTCCTATCTGACCAGGGAACATCCTTAAGTCATGACAAATAGTAAATGAATGATAAAAAAATATTTTCAAACTTTAGACGGGGACTTTAAAGAGAGAATCAGGGATAGCGAGCAGGCTAAACAAAAAATTGTTCCAAATTTAGAATATTTTTGGCTCATGTCATTCCTTGTCATATCTATTTTCTAAAAAATCACAAAAGTGCATACTTTATTCCAGGAAAACTAAAGATTTTTACAATAATGTATTATTTTTCTATAAGAATGGTTACCATTCTTATTATTTGGGAGAATTTAAACATTTTTCACTCATTTTTGCACTATGAATCATAAATAACTTCACCAATTTATAACATATTGTGAATCTTTTAGGAGATATTGTATTTGATATTGTAAGGAACAGATTGGTAGGTCAATTATACATGTTGCTTGTAATTTTGTCACCCCCTATAGATCAGATTCTGCCTTTAATATCTTCGGAGAACGAGAATCAAATTGACCCATCTTCACTTTTTGATATGTTTGGGTGTTTTCTAAGAGGTCCAGGTACAATTTAAAGATCTTAATCAGTTCAAAATTACAACCGCTTTAAAAGTAAGCATCCCTATTTATCAATACAATGCATTACAACACTGCAGACATCTCCTTCACACGAGCCTTCATTTTTTTTAAATGATCTCTTGTTTAACACGTACATTGTTTTATTTGTTTCATATAATTGCTTTACGTATCATTTTACTGGAATTATCTGCCCATTGCGTGCAGTTTACGGAGTTAAATTATTATTCATGCATAATTCTACTTATGTTAAAAGTAGGGAAAAAAGTCTACCCATTTTCAGGCCCAGTTGCGTTATGTTTGATAATCCTGTTACTAATTACCGATCTTATAGTGGGCGCGCGCCCACTCAAAGTTAGATATAAAATATGTTGAAATATCGAAAAAACATTTGTTTATTGATGTAAGATAAGTCTGAAAATTATATTCCTGATCATTTCAAGATAAAAAATAATCAACATATATGATAATAGATATAAAATATTTATTTTGATCATAAAATACGATTCCATGATTGAAACTTAATAAATAAAGAGGAATATTGAATTAGCATAAATCAAAGTAGATATAATTCGTATCTACGCGAAATATTCCAAATCATTTTAATTAAAATGAAGATAGGGTTATAGAGAAAAATGTTTCTTCCACACGACAAAAGTAATATCTCTAGTTTAGTCATACACCAGCATGGCTTACCAATGACAAAGCGTGAGTCCGAAAAGCCATCTCATAGCCAGACTCGATGACGCAGAGAAAGGGTTGCCAAAAACCGAGATTGCCAAATCGCTAATTGTCATCGATAGCAAATGCACATTTGAAGGAGTTCTCAGTTCTTTATTCTTCACGAATAAAATGATCACCATAGCATTTGTTGTCATGCCAATTATACCGATGAGTGCTATAACTAAACCCAATGTGGTATATGCAGCGTGGGACCATACATCGTCGGCTTCAGCCTGAGCATTTGTAATAGTCGACAGCGTGGTCGATTCACTCCAGTTACCTTCCATTAATTAAATGTTACCTGTTCTCAAGCAAGAAATGAACTTCATATCGAAAGCAAATGTGGTGACATGGAAGACTGTGAAATGTAGCTGTTTAAAGATGTTATATCCTTGCGACGATCTCGATCTAACTAATTTTCTCAATACCTATATTGCTTCTTATATACTCATTGAAACCCACGTTTTCGCCAATGTGACTTCTGCTAATATTATATTGTCTTAGTTGATGTCATCTAGTTGTTATTGAATTAATATCAATTAAATTGAATATATCAAGGAAGCCGTGGTTACCGTTCTTGTTACATGAGACAAATTTAATTTCACTTCTAACTTCCCATGTAATCCAAAAAGAAGGGATTGACTCGTAACAAATAAGATCATTTTTTGAAAATCATTTTTCCCTACTCTGTTGTTTCAAAAAGATACATTGGTCGGCCATTTTGACTTTCCAAAAGCACAAAATAAAAATGATTTATGTTTCTGATGCATGTACTATTCAGTATTCAATACGTTTTGAAGAGATCTCAAATAAATTTTTTAATTTTATCGCCCGGTATTCGGAAATATGGGACGGAGAGGGGGGCAGGCAAATTTTACTAGAGAAATTATGAAATCTGCAAGATTTTTCTTTTTCAGGAGAAAGTTCACAACTTGATTACTATATAAATGGGCGCATGGTATGGTAAAATATGTTAGGTCTTCTATGCTTTTTTGAACCGACACTCTTCTAAGATACGAGATATCTTAAAAAGGCGCAACACCACCAACACGCACAAGCCAATGTTTTTGCTATGAATCAAGCAACGATGGTCTATGTGCATAAAGTCGGCTATGAAATTAATTTTGTGATGATAATGTCACTCACAAGTATTTATTACAGGTCGTGTAGACCATTGTTGCTTGATTTATAGCAAAAACATTGACTTGTGCACGTTTAAGAGACATTGTGCCTTTTAAATAGATTTCATATCTTAGACGCGTATGGGATCAAAAATCATTAACATATTTCACCATAACATGCGCCTATTTGTATAGTTAAACGTTCTCTTGAAAAATGACACTGTCATTTTTTTAGCAGAAATTGCATACTCCCACCTCCCAATCCGTCCCGATTTTCTAATCAACAGTATATCTCGAGCCATTCAAGGAAATGAAAGGGAATTTGTCATTTCAATTTCTAAAACTTCACTTTTTCATTCCCCTTACCTTACCTTAGTTGAACCATGACTTATTTCCTAATTAAACAGTCTTCGCCACAAACCACATAACATATCCCCAATTTACACTACGCGCAGCATTCCAAGACGTTTTGGCTAAAACGTTTTAGAAAAATTAAGTTGAGTTTACATTACCATTTTCAAGACGTCTTAGGAAATAAGATTGAGTTTACACCTGTTTTCCTAAAACGTCTTAGAGATATGTAGGTGTACATGTAAAATGAAAAAAGCAGTTCAGTACTGGTTTAAGGACGGTTCAGTCAATATAGCTATTCCTTTCCCCCCTCCATACTTTGTACTGAAGAATGCATCGGTTTCAGAAAAATATGTCCTCTACTGACAGCATTGTTAAAAGCATTAAAGAGAACTGGAAGATTTTATGCCTAAATTAGGATTAAGATAAATCAGCAGGCAAATAAGTTTTCTCAATAATTTTGAGATGATATTAGGAACAAGGGATAAGACAAAATAAAGGACCATGCGACATATGCAAATGGAAAGTTTCAAATGTTTCGTTCGGCGCAACGCAAAAAACGGGCTAAGAGCTCTTAGCTAAACCCGATGGATTTACACTCGCTTGTAAAACGTTTTAACGTTAAGACGTCTTGGCTATGACTAGGGTCCTAAAACGTTTTAGCTAAGCGCTCTTAGCCTACAGCTCTTGAGTAAATTTGGATTTACATTACATTTGTAAAACGTTTTAACGCTAAAACGTTTTTGCTAAGACGTCTTAGCACGCTAGTGTAAATCCAACAAATACCACATAGGCCTATATTATAGGATTAGATTCGAGCCAGCGGCCCGCATTTATTGGAATAGCGTTAAGTACAACTGATACAAAGAATGAGTGAAAAAATGAAAAAATGTAGCCAGTTCGCGATGAATCCAGGTACCTATGACGGCCACGATGCTAATGTCATAGCGGCCACGATGCCGATGGCATTAATGCCAAAAACCTCTTAGGTTCAAATATACTCAACATCCATCCTCGGCTCCCAACCTCGCTGCTGATATACGATGTCAACTGCCTTTAAGACATCATTTTAAGGCACTGTGTACTTAATTAAAACATTTAAATCCAACAATTACCCATATCCAATGATCAACTGTTTTAAAGCCATTGTGGCTACACGTTTGTTTACACGTCAAAGATCTCAAATAAATTCACAAATTTCGGAATAAACCAAATTCTTAATTGTGACTGTACCTGTCAACTTACAGTTATAAAAACTTGTAGAAGGACTATACACATATACATTGTATATTGCCCTCTAGCACTACCTCACTATCTAATACACTAATCACACACTGTCATTAATACTTAGCAGTTATGTCCCTATCATTGGATTTATGCCTAAGGTCTGTCACCAATATAGCCCGAGCTTGCGAGGGTTATATTACGACAGACCGAAGGCATATATTCAATGATACGGACATAACTGTTGTATTACATACTTTTATATCATGGCTACGTTATATCAATGACGCCACGTGTCTGTGTGCGAGTGAAATTAGGAAGAAATGAAACATGACGTCCCGATGACGTCATAAGATTGTCATGGTAAAAGGTTTGGCGGCTATACAAGAATATATAGCCGACCTTCAGCTCCATTGACTTCAATACAAATGCTTCGCTGGGTATGTAATACATTACAATAATCCTAATCACTGTCTACAGACTTGCACTGTAACCATAACATTGTCTTTTGGAAAAAACGGACTTTAGAAAATTAATGAAACTTACTTCCTTAATAGACTGTCGTAATGTGCGACATTGTAGGTCACAATAGACAAAAATTCCGTGATAAGAATACACGAACGGACTACAAAAATCCTACGATCTTCTAAACTATATTGTGATGAACAATATAATATCTGGAAAGCACCATGCTTTGCAAACCCTTATACCAACTGATCTCGTATTGCAACAAAGGCAAAATTACAATTCTTCGAAACGTTGTAAATCTAAATACTAGTACTATAAGATCTGTTTCATATAAAATGCAATTACTGTAGCTGACAAACACTTCTCTAAATGTCTTTGTCACACTAATAGAACACAACTACTGTAAATGTTGTTAAGGAACACCACTATCTTCTTAAAATACCAAAACTTGATGCCCTTCTGGAAATAGATATTACATATTATCCTATGCCAAGTAGAGTTTTAGGGAGATTAGTTGGTAACCCTACTATCACACCAAACTAGTTCTCACTGCGTTCTCGAAAACGGGCTTCAACTGTATACGAACGGACTGGACCTACTAAGAACCGTTTGGGATCTATTTACAAACGTACGAACGTACTCGAACGGGTAGGTCCTCTAGAACTTAGACAATGCTCAAAATGTTCTCGTGGTCGTCACGTTCTACAATTAGAACGAGTGACAACGTACTAACGACGAGCTGGACGTACTACGAACGGAACCGTCGTACTTCAATCCTACTAGGGACGTTTTAACAACGAGTTGAACTGTCTGAGGACGTGTTTAGAACGAGGTTGAACTAATGAACGTAGCTGCAATTTTTAAGGTCTATTTACGAACTTTATGAACGTTCTCAGACGGGAATGTGATTTTAGAATTTTGAATCGATTCAAAATTCGATGGCGACCATACCAGACTAAGGGACGCGTTCTACGACGTTGCACACCGACGTGGTGCGACCTGAACGAACTGCGAACGAGATGGACGTATTGAAAACTGTTTAAGAACGAAGAAGTTAATTATTTCAGACATATTTCCCGACCACAGCCAGATTGAGCCCGTTTTACGACGTTTTCGTAGGACTGGCAAGAACGGGTAAGAACTAGTTTGGTGTGATTGGGGGGTAAGATATATCCCGTATCTTGATTTTGAGGTTTCCATATCCAGAACCTCCATATCTCCCGCCATATCTCCCGCTTCGGTGCATATCTTCCCGCTTCCGGTAATTTCACTTCACAATTATTTTTTCAAAATTTTTTTTAGAATTATTTTTCACATTTTTTTCAAAATTTCTTTTTTCAAATTTTTGGATATTGTTAAACAACACTTTTGTATTTCAAAAAGTTATCAATGTATTTAAAATTTAAAAGTGGAAATGCAATAAAATGACTTTGCATATGAATGATTTGTTTGTTTTTACACATTGTACTATTCAAATGGCCATATGCCCCTGAAAACTCTACTTGGTATAGGATAAAGCAGTTATGTACGGTCGGTTTGGATATTGGGTTCATCCCTCGTGAGATATGCACATCTACCTTCGGTCCCTACGGTCCCTCAGGTAGATATGCATATCTCCCTCTGGATAAACCCCATATCCAAAACCTCCCAGTACATAACCCTTATTTATCTAAAAATTTGAAGGACTTTCGGATATAATCAATATCTCTTCTGCCCTTCTCGAAACAATATGACAGAAACGCACTTAAATAGTTATTACATGTTTATTCACTTAGATACATTGCGTCGTCAGTAAAAAGCCATGCCTTGAGATCCAGATTTATATGCAAATTACATAACTGCTTCTAACACCCCAGTCACATTTCCTACGGCGACCTTGCGGTCTATCATTTCTGCGGCCAGTAGCTTTTCTACGCTCGCCGCAGAATTTCTGCGCTCTCATACTTTTGCAGTCACATTTCCCACGGCAGCCGCACGGTGAATTTTAAATTTCTATTGATAAATAATAGTTTTTTTCATTTTATTTACATCAGGACAATTTATAAATGTTATTCAAAGTGCTAGGATGTAATATCAAATGAAAAGTGATCGTGAAACATTGACAAATAATGATTCAATCTTGTTGAGCC